GGCTCTGTCCATAATCCCTGCCACTTGCACACCTGAAGGAAAGTCTTGTCACTCGACTTGGGGTCAAAGGCACCTGTGAAGATCCGCGTTAGAATTGATCTTCAGTGATTGAGTGAGTGAGTGAATTTAGTTTTGCAATTTTTTTAGCAATATTCCAGCAATATCACGACAGGGGACACCAGAAATGGGCTGATCTTCAGTAATCCATACTTGTCGTAAGAGGCGACTAACGGGATCGGGTGGTAAGACTTGGTTGGCACATGTCATCGTATCACAATTGCATTGATCGATGTTCATGCTGTTGATCACTGGATTGTCTGGTCCATACTCGATTACTCACAGACTGCCGCCATATAGCTGGATTGTGCGGCGTGAAACTAAACTCACTCACTCACTGGGGTCAAAGGAGAGAAATCCAGAGGAACCAAACTGTTTTCAACGTTGAAAGACTCGGCACTTTTCAGTTGTATTAACGTTTGGGGCTGATACTGACCAAGATTCACAAAGTACTGAAGTTTTCTCAGAGTAAATGGATGAAACCTTATATCGATCTTAACACTAAGTCTTACAAACGTAAAGAACCCACAGATGACTTTACAGTTTTATCTGCGACAAAGCTCCGGGTGCCATGGGTGAAAAGCGCACTGCCAAAGGTGTTCAGAAATAAACATCTACGACGCAACGCGTACAAAAAATGAAACATCAGTCTTCAGGGTGTTATAATCAAATTCGTTTTTCCATAATGAACAATAGACTGTCGAGCTAACGATATTGACATTGACATTTGGACGATGGTATCGAATCCAGATACGTCGTATTAAATATTGTATATATGTGCGTGCGTGCGTGTCGGGAGAAGAGCAACTGGAGTGAACATGTCATTCACTTATTCGTTTTGTCCATGAGCCTTCGTCGGGGATGCTCTCGAATGGTAGCTGAGGATGGTGGACAAGAGACGGAAGACAAAAGCCAGCGGCAGAGTTAAAGACAGCAGCAGCCATTTTATTGTGGTTGGATAATAATGGTTGAAAGGGTACATAAAATGGTAATCACGTGACAGAACGCACACCGGGACCGAGTGGCCGATGTTCCCGATGCGTTGATCCGATCTGTCATTTGCACGAACAGGCAGTTAGGACGGCGATTCTTCATCGTCGACGTAGTCGTGGCTGAGGCGACGGCCTTGGCCGACGCCCCGACTTGTCAGCACACTCCGTCCGCTCCTGTCGATGATCTGGGCCCGTCTCCTCTCGTCTTATCTCGTCTTTCTGACTGGTCTCTCTAACTAACCATGTCAGTCCGGTTTTATACATAGGGACATTACGCCACGTTGTGCAAGGTCACTGACATATGTACATACGCAAGATCCGCCGACGTAAGGAGGTGTTAATTGACATTTACTGATAGTCAAAGTCTTATTTATTGTCTATAGGCCACAGGCCCGTATACAACATATGCACAACTTTTACATACATTTACACATGTATACAATAACAAAGGTTCAGTTAACAACACATATATATAATGACATAGTACATGGAGAAATCATACAAAAATATATATTATTATCTTACTGAATTGACAGGTATTTTAATTCTCTTAGTTCATATGCACGGTGTAAATATGTGCATAATTTTCTTGGAAGTGTTTCTTTATTAGTAGTTAATAGGGATTCAACTTATAATTAGGTTTTGACAATATACAGATGGTAAATATTTTGATCGAAGAGCATTATAGACATTACAAACAAATAAAAAGTGGTACTCATCTTCTACTCCTAAATTACACAATTGACAGTTGCGTTCCGTTACATTAATATTTTGCCATCTACCTTCATTTTACTTTAATCTTAGCAATCCACATCTAAATTTAATCAATATTTTACGGAGTTTTCTGTCAACAATACATGATTCATAAATATTTTTCGGGAGCTAAAAGACTTTTTAAATTCTCTATACATACAATATCGTGAGCTGTTATTTAATATACACGTCCATGACTGGAAAAACTGATTGCAACTGATTTTAATTCATTTATAAAGAAATTTTATCACCAACCGTCTGCGTCTGCGATAGAATTAAGAATTAAGGATCCTGCCCGGAGAGGGTTATGATATGAGGGATACACCGAATGTTTGCTGAATACATTAAATAGACATACAGGATAGAATTTCGGTGTGATTTGGACATATATTGAAACAAATATGTCGTTTGAATATATGAAGTTTTACAGAAACTTATTGAAATGGTTCACTTTATGACAGTTTCATAAAAACCCGGCGTTAGTTCCCACAGTAATAATGTTCTCACTTATCGTTTCCTAAAACTCAAACATTCATATCACTTTCAACACATATTATTTGTCAGTGAATTGCTGTTTTGTTATTGAGATTATTATTTTAATGTTGATAGTTTTGGTTATTCTTTTCAAAATAAATATGATGATATTTGATACTTGAAATAGAGTTTGCTCATGCAATATATCATTTGCACAACGTTTTGTATGTGTTCGTATGTGTATAAACGGAAGTGTTTCATCTGAAGCAACGCTATTATGTGACCATAAATGTGACGTTATGAAAACTTTATTAGGTATGAATAACATATTGATTTATTCATATTGTCGTGAAAAAAACGATGATAACGATGACCTATATTTAATCACAGTTTACATGTCATGTGCGTCTTCACACGAAATTATTTTCTAGCCAAAAAAATGCTTAAAAAGAATTTTCATTATCACAAAAGCCAAAAATAAAGAATCTGAATGGTGTAATTTGATGAAACATGGGTCCTGTAATAAAACTGAAAGTAAGATAACATAACGTGTCAATAAAAGTATGGTCATCCCAAACGGGTAACACGATGCATAGTCCTAATTCATTCATCCCAATCCACAAATAAGGTCTCTAATTCCAGAAGACAGAAGACACAGTCAGCATCTTGTGTAACCTCCGCCCACCCGGATGACGTTTTCAACCCTTGTCCTCATGGAGTGCACAAGATGCTGAATCCGATGTTGGGGCATGTTCCTTTGAGCATATGCCATGTTCCTCTGTCGCCATACGCGCGTCCTTTACTAACCACAAGCAGGAAAAATCGGCTCTCGTCTGAAAAATGGATCTTCCTCCAAGAAGCCAGGCTCCACCGACACCGGTCACGGTACCACCGTAATCTTGCATCCATGTGGGCACGTGTCAACAAAGGTCTCCTGGCCTTATTCCCTTGCAGTTTTCTGTCCATTTCTAATAGTTTTATTTACAGAGTTGCTGATGTTGAAGTCATTGCCGTTTTAACATTGGACTTGGTGCAAAGGGAAATCGCTGAATACGTATAGGGCTGTGTCTTGTCAAGCTGATGTCTTGCGTGGTCTGCCTGAACGATGCAGATTCTTTATACCGTTTGTTTGGTGATATTTCCTCACTAATCGACTGATTGTTCAGGGGTGGTACCCTAATTGCCTGGCAATTTGTCTCTTGGGCAACCCGGCATAACCATACCTATAACTTGCCATCTTTTGGCTGACGTTAGTTGAGGGGGACCCCATAAGAGTGGTTTAATACAAGAAGTATGCATTTTAGCTCAGTTTTTTAACAATGATAATTGAAACTATATTGCCATGACAAGAAGGGTGCAAGTGTTTCATATGCTCCACACACTTTACCTGCAGCACCTGATTTGTTGCGTTTGGGACAAGTAATAAGTTATTGTTTTCATATATTTTCATAATGTTGTTATATAGCAATTTGTAAGATACTGAGAGTGAGTGAGTGAGTTTAGTTTTACGCGCTTTCAGCAATATTCCGGCAATATCACGGCGGGGGACAACAGAAATGGACTTCACACAATGTGCCCATGTGGGGAATCGAACCGGGTCTTCAGCGTGTCGAGCGAGCGCCTTAACCACTAGGCTACCCACAGCCCTAGATACCGAGAGAAACAAATTAGGTGTTGCGATACGTTTTTACCTATATATTAAAAATGCCTTTGCAGCTCTAAAGATTTGTCATATGTTTATTTTAAAATATTCGACTGTAAGATATTACCTATATTATTATACGAGTCAGAATAACAGGCTTTTAGCGGGTATTACTTAATGCTTGTAAAGCGAGTCCTTGGTTTGTGAATGTCTACACCAAATACAATTGTCTTTGGGCACACTGGTAAATATCCTATTCATGCGTACAGGCTTAAGCGTTGTATTTCTTACTGGTTAAAGCTCCTCTCCATTCCCTCTTCACGCTACCCATCAAAAGCCTACAAAATATTCACGAAGTACCGAGCTTAATAGGTTTCATTAGGATTCTCATGTGAAAACAGATCTATTTAGATTTGGACTAGGCTATCGTGGATATGGCAGGGAGTTGGAAATAAACATTTTTAAATTTACTTGAAAGAAGAAGCAAAGATTGCTTTATACAAGAGTGCAATGTAAGACTCTACTTTTATTTATTCCCTGTTTAAAGAAAATTTCAAGTGTGAACCATATATACCCTATATCAATATTAAGAATGTAAGAATAGCCTTGACAGTTTTAGTTCAGTTTACTATGACTTAAGGTGATATAAAGGGGAAAGTTTCATAACAAACCTACTGTGTGCAATTACTGTAAATTAAATGTCCTGGAAGACAAATACCAAGTTCTGCTAATTTGTGATTATTATAATAACATTAGGAGCAAATACATACCCATTTATTTTACAAAACAACCATCAAAACACATATTTATCCAGCTATTGCCAACTGCTACCCGTATATTAATTGAAAATATTGCTTTGTTTATCTATCATGCTATTATGGAGAGAAAACCAGTGTTAACATTGTATATACTTATATTATGGGCCTGTGGCCTACAGTTCTGAATAAAGATTGATTGATTGACATAGATCAGTTGTGAAAACACCTTACCACACTGAAAATCATTTTACCTAAAATAGAAATTCATTTTTGGCAAGGCTGCACTATACAAAATGAATTTTCAATGTCAACACAACACATATAGGATTGATTCAGCTTTTATTGTAATGACTGAAAATACACAACATCAACAGTCATCATGTACACCCTTCTCTCACAGCTTGGAAAGACCAATACCTTCAACAGCACTTTGTGCTTCATCATATATTATCAACTGATACTGTTTCATGAAATTGCAGTAAGAGAACCCATGGATGATATATTTAGTAACACAACTATGTCGAATGTTGCCATTAAAGGCAGCCTCCATGCCCAACATATACTGCACTGACACAACTATCAGTGTGGATGTATTTCAAAACGAGTAAACTTTCCTCCAAATCTAAAGTTCTGTCATCTTCAATGTGATAAGAGAACATGTCATGCATCAACCTTATTTAACAATTATTTGTGCAAACTAAACTCCTTAATTTGCAAACTTTGAATTTGTGGTGACAACCTAACAACTAATATACTGTCGTAAGTCAGCAGCCAACAACAAAACCGTAACTTCTGTGACAATACCAGAACTATCTTATAGATCAGCTGAAAGCATTACTCTCTTTACTCAGGGTACCTTTCATATAATGATGGATTACAAAATGTCCATAAACTGCAGGGCAGGATAACCAGATTTCATTTCCATTTGTTGTGAAATCACAGGATATGTTATTACATTCAAAATTTGTTCTGATACATTAAACCCTGCATAGAGAACAAGTAGAAAATTACATTTTAACATAGCCTGAAATGGAGACGGAGATATGGTTTTATTCTGGCCTGATTGTTACATAACATGTTTCATTTCTCTATGGCTGATGTGATTCCCATCTAAGCATAGTACTGCAGGTTGGCCTTCTTCTTGGCTTGCACCTCAATGATAGCATCCATGTAGTCCTCATGGCTCAACTCAACCGCTTCACGACGCAAAGCAATCATACCCTGAAATACAAACCCAAAGGAATAGGTGATCTTCAAATACTAACTTAGAATAACAAACTGTTTGTTTTACACCACAGTCAGCTAGATCCCTGCCATGGCTTTGCAGATGTAAATAATTGAGTCAGTGAGTCAGTCAAGGGACAATGGCCACCATTATGAGCAACATCTCTCATCAGTGTACAAAGTCAAACCAGTCACTGACTGTCACCTTCTAATCAAAATTAGTCCCCTCTTTAAACAAAACTTTGAGTGCCTATTTTAGCCCATGACAGTCATAAAAAAGTTAACAAAACAGCTTCTTACGCAATGTATACGATACTCAAAAGAATTCTTGACAAAAAAATTATTGACAGACACAAAATAGTTCTCCATCCACACAATGTCTAATAGTTTTACTCTTTCAAGTTCTGCTGAGTGATACACATTAACTCTCATATGGCTTGAATAAAGCAGTTTTTAGTATGAACAAGTGTTTATATTTAGAGGCTAGATATTTCAAACAATGCTATCATGATTACATGTGGTTGTGTGCAATGACTAGTGTTGGGAATTGGTTGAAATCTCACAATTAATGATTGGTTCATTAACAGCGAGGAAACTTTGAAATAAATTGGTTATCTTAATTTCAGATTTTCCTGTTCAGGTTGTTATTGCACATAAGTATAACATGATTCTCTGTTGTTTTTTGTTTTATTTAGAAATTGTGCAAATTGTATTAGCAAATTTCACATCCAATGTAAAATGATGCAACTTGCAACTTCCAGCATCAAATGTTTATTCGATTATTTCAATTAATCGGAACAGCACTAGTAATGACACAATATCATATTCTACTTACCGCCTCCACACAGACTGCTTTCAGCTGGGCACCATTGAAGTCATCTGTACACCGGGATAGCTCTTCATAATTGACATCCTTGCTGTAAACAAATCACCATGGCACTTCATGAGTTTTGTCACTTTAAAACATGGCATAAACAAATATGTAATTTTTTGAGTAAAATTGATATTTTATACTTATCCTGACTCATGCTCTTTTGCTTGTCCCCTTCCTCTTGCGAACATAGTGGAACACTTGTATCTCCTTAATTGAAGCTCCCTTCAATGTAAAATCACTAATTGGTACTCACCCACGAGGTTACCTCCCCTGCCGTGAAGCGGGGAACAGGTGTCGCCACCCTCTGGCCTCATGCTTCACTCTCTCCTGATTTTTGCAGAGCCCAACACTTGAATTTACAGGAAATCCAAAGTGTTATGTGGGGAGGATGGGAGGAGCTAACCTCATGAGTCAGGATAAGTATAAAATATCAATTTTACTCAAAAATTACATATTTTTCCTTATCCTGACTCATGCTCTTTGTTTGTAGAATCCACGGAGGTGGTGGGTAAACAGAATACTTTGGATTAATTAGTGATTTAAGTAAGTGATATTGTAATAACCCCTGCGGGAACTTCATAAGGCATTGAGACTTAGGATATTTCCTTATAATAAGCCATAGATATATACACTATAAAGTGGGGGTATTACCTTACTAATATACTGATATATCAATATATATATATAAACTGCTACTCTAAGCGTAGCTGTACACTGAATATAACTCAGTATGAGCTTAAGGTTGAATAACCTAAGCTAAATATGTATACATAGCCCTAGAACTCCATGGAGTTATAAGCTAGTGAATATATGTATCATATATCTAATAATCTCGTGGGGGTGAATATTAAGCCCTCACGAGGGACTGTCAATTGCTGAGCAAGGGACAAAGGACCGAAATGATGAATGCCAGAGGCGTCCCTCGTGGTGATATCTCTGAGATAGTGATTAGCAAACACCATGTTAGATTTCCAAAAGCATCCTTCCATAATTGTATTCAATGAACAGTTACCATGAAGAGCGAGGGTGGATGCCAATGCCCTGATTTCATGGGGATTTGATGCTGTTGGAGGGTCCAGTCCTGCTGCCTTATAGGTAAAATGACAGTTCTTATCCATATAGATATGGTGAGTGCGAGACTTCTGTCTGATTTGTAAGCGATAGCTTAGGGATGAACAATCTTCTGAGCGATCTTAGCCTTGTTTTGGAACAGCGCTTAAATAGATTATGAGAGCTTCATTACTGGGCATAGAGATAAGTCCAATGTATCTTGAGATCCAAGAATTGAGGATAAGCGAGGGATGTGAAATAACCTGTCTGGTTGACCTGGTAGTTGATTTTTGGCGATGAAATCCCATCTTAATCCCAGGTGCTGTCTTTTTGATTTTCATCAAACTGTATCCTCTCATAATCTAGAGCATGAATTTCAGATATTCTGGCTGCGTGGCTAGCGATAACAGGAAGACTGTTTTCTGTGAGAGAAATTCAAGCGTTATCGATTCAATGGTTCATAATCCTCACTTGTGAGGTGTCAGTTAAAACTACATTCAGATCCCAAGCTGGAAAGTGGAATTTCCGCTTTTGGTCCTCAATCGGAAGCCGTAGTAAAGGCCAGTAACTCTAGTGTTCTTGTTAATTTAACACCCGTTCTCATAGAAATCACAGAACTAAAGCGCGCAAGATATGTTGACAATGTCGAGCCTTTTTAAATGTTTGTTTTGCCGTAAGTAACACAAATAGTCTGCCACTTGAGGATCGTAGCATCTCTGCGCTGTAAAACCCTTGTTTGTTGCATAATTTTTTGAAACTTTGCCACTTGTCATGCGTGACAAGATTCTGGCGTTGAAGTATCGTAAAGGAAAAAGCGTGACCGCTTTTGCAGCCCTGGTAGAATATCCTCTCTTGTTTAAACACATTTTAATACAGTCCATGCATTGAAGTTTGAATACTTCTGGGTTTCTGTGCACCTGTTTGGTGTGAGGGATGTATTAACAGGTTTTGGCTGGCTTGGGTAGTTCTAGTGCGGTTGACCCGATATCTTGTATTAAAGGCGAGGAAACCACGTTCTGGCCGCCAATAGGCTTTGTAGCGACCAAAGTGAGTTGTAGGCTCTGCGTTTGGTTGATTTTCTGTAATACTAAGAGGTATTATTGCTGGGCGAAGGAAGCAGCGTACGCATTGAGGCCTTCCCATGAAATGCTTAAATCTGTTGCCCATGCTTGTGGGTCTGGCACTGGTGACCGCGAATGTCGGTAGTTGATTGTTGAACCTTGTGGTGAATAGATCTACTAAGCGGGCTCTATTTGCTTGATTATCTGTGCAAATATCTCTGTATTGAGCATCCATTCTGTAATGACGGTAGATGTGGCCGAGAGTCGCGCGTCTGCTAGTATATTCCTGGCTCCGGGAATGTGGCATGCTTTGACATGTAGATTTAGATCTTGGATTAATTGAACAGTTGAAAGGTTAAATTCAAAAGGTTCGGCGATCTCGTTGAGCCTTGTCTGTTCACATAAAGCGCCACTGTCGAGTTGTCGGTATGTATCATCAGGTGCGCATTCTGTAGAATGTTGCTCCAATGTCTTATGGCGTTGATTACAGCTTTCATCTCTAATGCGTTTATGTGGAGTTTGCTTTCTAGCTGAGTCCATAACCCTGATGCCGTCGGTTGGAGAGATGAGCTCCCAACCTTGGAAGCGTAGCGTCTACATATAGATGGGTCTTGAATTCCTGCTCTGCTAAACAAATCCTTCGCAGACATTCGATTTCTTTGTCCACCATAATAGATGAGGTCTGAGATGTATCGGTAGACTGAATGGTTGTAGGTAAAGCCGAGATGTGTATTGGCCGAAGACCTGTAATGGACGTAACTGTAATCTGCCTATGACTGTCAAGTCTTGGGCTGATGTTAGAAGACCTAGTAAGCTCTGCCATTGTCGGAAGTGGTAGCGGTGACAGTAGAGCTGGTGGAATGATCTGTTGGATCTTGAGCCAGCGGTCTTCTAATACGACTATACGGTTGAGATTGGTGATAAATCAGTTCCTAGGAATTGCAGATCTTGCGATGGTACTAGGTCCGACTTGTGTAAGTTTACTAACCATCCCAGCTGTGTTAGTAGCTTTATGATGTAGTTTAACTGTAGTTTGAGATGCTGTGGATCTTGATCTACTTGTATCCCGTCGTCGAGGAAGAAGCACTTTCGTAGCCCTTGGCGATGTAGATAGGTAACAATCGGTTTACGTTATCCTCGTGAATAACCATGGGGCTGATGCTATTCGAATGGGAGTACTTTCCACTGGTAATGTAACCCGTCTAGCGTAAACCGAAGGTATTTCCTGGATTAGGGATGTATTGGGATGTGCAGATAAGCATCTTGTAGATCTATACTGCCCATGTAGTCCATGGGAAGAATCATCTCCCACCGTAGCTCGCGGTAGATGTATCATAATGAACCTGGGTGGTCTGTTTAAGTAAGTCTTGTTGAAGAAGCTCATGTTGTAAATGAGTCTGTATTTCTCCTTGGAGTTCTTCTTGGGTACTAGGAAAACTGGGGAGTAGAAACCTGGTTCGATGTTTCCTTGCTCTATTACTTCTATGGCCTGCTTGGTTAGGAGTAATGTAACCGCCTCTCTTAACTTTAGTAGTTGTTGTGCCTCTACCTCGAACTTGTGAGGGTTGACTGTTAGTGGAGGCTTGGCCTGTAGTGGGATCACGAAATCAGCGTTGAAGAATGTTGGAGACATAGGTGTCTTGAAGTATTCCCCAGTTTTCCCAGTGTAGTTGAAGGCGTCCACCCACTTGTGGCGGTTGTACTGGAGCGGCTGGGGTGGAAGACTCCAGTCGTTCGAACCTGTCTTTCAGCGTTTATAGTTGCGGGAACCTCTGGGTGTCCTGCCTCGTCCTGACCCTCCTCTATAGTTGCCATATGGGCGTGAAAAGAATCTCTTCCCTGGAACTGGCAATCTTCCTGTCTCTAGCTCTTTGTAGGCCCGTGAATTTAGATCTCCTGAGTATCTTTGTGAAGTCTGTCGAATGACACTGGCTAAGCGTGTCCATCGATTTAATCATCAGGACTTCTCTAGAATCCTTGGTGACTTCTTTGGAGACTGTGTCTATTCCTCCGTCAAATATGGATGGGGAAGACCACGGGGCTGTATATAGTGGAGCTGTAAAGTTCTCACCCCAGTTGCAGGAAGCTAGGAGGCCTTGACGACGAGCTAAAGGTCAGTGCTGCTGAGACAGGCGTCAGATGATCTGTTAAAACTGCTGGTCCTTCTTTTGCATCAGTAGGGCCGAGTAAATCATTCTGTCATCTTCAGAGGTCGTGTTCGAAATCTGGAGATAAGTGTCTCATTTATTGTTCTAGATCTATTTAGACCGAAGAACATCGCCTCGTCATGGTTTCTATCTGAACCAATTTCCGATCATCAATCTTGTAGTACTTGTTCTTGGCGCCGGAGATCAGCTTATAGTTCTCATCGATGTCTTGCGCTTTGAAGAAGGGTTCCATATTATCGTGGAGAACTTCTTGGCTGAAATTTGGCAGATGTGGCGTCTGAACCTTTGTGGCTTTGTTAAATGCTGTATCTAGGTTCTGAGGTATTACCCCATAATCCGAATTCGATTGGGGGGTAGTGTAATAGCATCTCGTCATCTTCTTTCATCAGATAAGTCTAGCCTTATTGCCACTCTTGGAAGGTGATGAGAGATCTAGATTATTGACCATCCAATATCTTATCTCTGCATCTGAGAAAATAATTCCTCCATCATCTTCCATTCCATCATCATAGATAAGAGGTTGTTGCTCTTCTGATGTAGGGCTGTGTGGCTCTATCTCTATATCGTTTGGCGCTTGTGGAATCTAGTTGTAGGCTTATGTGCAGACCTGTGAGGTGATCGGCGTGGTGATCGGGTGAGGTGATAAATCTTGGTGATCTATATCGATAGGTTGACCTTCTTGGCGATCTATAGGGGACTGATAGCCAGCGAAGCTCTTGTGTAGTCCCTTGCTGATCTTTTAGATGAAGGCGATCTGGGTTCAGGTGTCGCCAGCAAGCGCCAGCGAAGGCATTATCGTCGGTCCTGGGGAGCGATGATATGACCAGCGAAGGCTTGCGTGTGGTCTGGTGATCAGATTCCATATCTGAGTATGGCCGAAGAAGGTGATGATTCTTCCGCCAGCCGAAGGCCAGCGAAGAGCTGTACATCTGGGTCCGCCGTCGAGGTGGTCTGTGACTTCCTTCGCGAAGGCTGCATTGTCGTGGCTGCTACGTTGACAGATGGTGCCCCTGGGGTGCTGTCACGTTGGAGCCTTCGCGAAACTCGGACCCTGGGATGGCTGCTTCTCCAGTCTATAGTGGCCTTCCATCATAATCATGATCTGTTTCATAAGATCGTTTGGGATGATCTGCGGCGTAGTAGATGGTGCCCTTTCTGCTGTGTTAGCGGTGGGGCCCTCAGCGATCTCGTCTGACATCAGTGTAGAGGCATCAGGCTGCTTGTTGATCTCTGCTGGCGTCACTGTCGCTGTCACTGGTAAGCTTCTTGTGGCATTATGTCGGGTATGATGATAGGCTGGTCATCATCGTAGAGGCCCAATTCTGCTGCTGGAGCGATCTCGGGCTGAGAAAGTTCTCGATGACTTCGTAGATTTCCTTTGGAGGAAGACGCTGCCCTGGGGTGCAGGGAAGTCTGGCGTTGAGAAGACGTTGAGGCCCTCTTGGACTTTGTCTGCGATGACTGGATGTCTGGAGAGGCGATTAAGCTTCTTAGAGGTGACGGACTGCATCCCACGCCCCTCTTCGATGGGGTCTCAAGCAGAACACCAGGCGGAGGGGATCACTTTCGACAGCAGTTGACTGGATGGGCAATCCGACGATCGGCCATGTCTACACCTAGTTTGCGTGACCTATCTGCAACACGCCCTCAAGGCGCAAAGATGGTATTTATCAAAGGCAGAATTGGTTAAATTTATGCAGTAACTGCAACGCGTGAGTCAAACGCACAAGGCGTAGTACAACTAGGGCATACCACATGCGGATCCATGAGCGAAAACGTAATCTACAAATAGTACAGTTTTTCATCAATGTAAAACTAGCTGAACAATCACTTAACTCACATTGAATAAACAGTAGAAATACGATTAATTATTAATGCAAATAACTGAAGGATACTAGCTATACCTTTATAGTAAACTATAAAAGGTAACTAACTAAGAAAACCAAAGGATATAGTGTGTAAGGAGACACAGGCGGCTCTCACATACTGCTCACTGGGCTTAAGAAGGAGAGAGTGAAGCATGAGGCCAGAGGGTGGCGACACACCTGTTCCCCGCTTACGGCGGGGAGGTAACTCTCGTGGGTGAGTACCAATTAGTGATTTTACATTGAAGGAGCTTCAATTAAGGAGATACAAGTGTTCCACTATGTTCGCAAGAGGAAGGGGACAAGCAAAAGAGCATGAGTCAGGATAAGGAAAAATAATTTTTTTTCATAAAATATTGTCTGTGGGTAATACAGGTAGACTAGACACTTCGCAACTGAAAATTGATTGCACATATCTTTGAACCATTTTCCAACACCTAAGAAAGTAAAACCAGTGCTGTGCTCACCTAACATTCATCTTCCTGGAGTGGATTTGCAGGATTCTGGCCCTAGCCTCTTCATTGGGGTGTGGGAACTCAATTTTCCTGTCCAGACGGCCAGATCGCAGCAGAGCAGGATCAAGGATGTCTACACGATTTGTGGCGGCGATAACCTGATTACACACACACATCTTATGAAGTCTACTTAAACTGTTATCTCAGTATAGAATCTAAACTATATCTTACTGGATTGTAAGCATTTTCAAAAGTAACAACACAGTCAGGGTTATCTCCCTTGTGTTTACAAGCAGTTTCTTCCAAATATTTTACAAACCGTTTCTGTTGGGCAAACCAATTCATCAAAGTGATATAACAAAATCAACTTTGCAGCAGGGACAGTTTGGATTTTAACTATGACAAATTTGTAGGAATCATCAATTGTCATGTCAATAACATGACAATAAAATGTCAATCTTCTCGGATAAGTACCACATCATTCAGGACAGTGCTGTAGCTTCCCTACCTTAACCTAACAGATAGTTATCCACCTTAGCCTGTGCAACCTCATATTCTTCACTGTTGGATGGCAGACATAAGCGTGGACAGTGGGTACAAAATGATAAGGTGGAGGAGGTGGATGAAGTCCACTAGCATCAGGTAAGCATAGAAACATTGCATTTATGCCGAAATGCAGATGTTTTACCTTAAATGACGCTACACAGGTCTTTATTCGACTGACTTGGACGGCAGGCTTACAGGTATAAGCACCAGTCCTGCTGAGGGCACTGCATAGATGGCAGGTAAGCATCCCGCCAGTGGTATCAGGGGTAGCGGTCGCACATCAAAACTAGGAAATATGTTGCTGTCCGAAAACTCTCTGAGAACTATCAGAGAAGTGGAGTGAAGATTATCAAGATTATTGCTCAGCAATGAGCACAAGTTAGGTGTGATTCACAAACAACTGTAGAGGGGATTACCATGCCTATACTTTACTGGGTCCCGATGGAACAGTTCCCAGCATCCAAGAATATTTATAGAGGAATAGAACATGGTGTGTGTCTTATTCCTAAAAGGCATACCGTTCCTCTCTCAGTGGCACAATCTCTGACCAGTGTCAGAGATTGGTCAGCTGCTGGGGCAGGACTAGTGGGCCAAAGCTGTGTGAGGTAATGACTTGTGAAGATAGTTCTGGACCTTCAGAAGCAACCCTCCATGATGGTCCTGACAGAGAGGGCCATCATCAACTACAAAGCTCTAATCTTGTGTGTGGGTTGCTGGAGGTGGCATATAATGTAAGTGTGTAGGAGGCGCTGAGGACACCAAAATATATAATACAAAATACAAACTTTGAGTCAAAGGCCCAAAAACACAGAGAAAATGACATATTCACAGAGAGTTTTAAAAAAGAATAGTGTAAAAGCTATATGAAATGCATGACTCAAACAAGACAAGACAGGTACTAAGAGAGCAATCATGGTGCCAGCCTATACTCAGTTGCGAGATCGACACAAATCTAACATTATCAAAAAAACAACAGGAAAATTGGAAATTTTAATATAAATTGTATATTTATATACTTATCCTATCTCACGACTTGCACCTCTCTCTCTTGCTTCGACTTTTAGTGGAACAACTGTAAACTTTTTCCCATAGGCCTCCTTGTCCATTCGCCCGTGCACTCCATGCTGCTCTCCTTAATTAGCTTCCTAGTTCCTAATAAAGCTTGCAGCATGCTCCACTAATTGCCCACGTGACTACCTTGAATGATCATTCTCATCTTGGAGCCAACGTTGTAATCTGAGTAGTGGGGAGGCCGGGCGGGCATCCATCGCATGAGATAGGATAAGTATATAAATATACAATTTATATTATAATTTCCAAACTTATAAACTTATCCTATCTCACGACTTGCACTTATCCCACGGTGCGAACAGCTGGTCTTGGAGCTGTGTGGACTGATGACAACCGTAGATAGCGATGTACAAGGGAGGCCTGTTACGCATGCACGCAACTCCTATGCTTGTAGTGGGTTCTCCGGAACCCCTTGGCTTACTAAGCACAATGACTCCCAGGGAGATGGGTGCTCCCGAGCGATGTGGTGTTCGACCGCAACCTTGTTCAAGACAAGGGACGCAACTCGGCAAGTAAGCGTCGCCCGTAATGATTTTACAAGGTACCCCCAAAAATTAAAGTCTTGCAACTAGAATCGGGCCAGCCCCTGCTTCAAGAAGGCCCCCCAGACACCGACCGAGGCGGGTGAAAGAGAAACACAACTCGGCATCTCCAAGGTTTAACGTTCAGTTCCGGGCACCATCAAATTGACCCTCACTCCTCTGTCTAAGCTTAATCAAAGGATGTGCCCGGCAACTTTGGAGGCAGAACATAGCGAAATCCACTGGAATTCGGGAGTGTCACACTTCACTGACGTAACTGCTCCGTGGTGTAGAGGTCAGTAAGCGTGAATGTTGAACACCTCTGCATCGCCATACTGATTGTGCCATCAGGTCCGTAGAGGGCCACGCTAGGTGGCCGTATTCCGATGCCTTGGTATGGAGGCCAAGTGAAGTAGTTCTTAAACCCATATAATGAGAACAAAAGGTTGAGATCCAGTTCAACTTTTATTCAGTATATACAAGGAAGTAGTAACGCGAATGCGGAACCGTCCCTCATCTGCGTTGTTGGGCCGATGTAACCTGCTGAGCCAGTACAAGAGGTCTGAACTGGTGTAGTCCCTGGACATCTGTGACAGACAGGTCTCGCAGGTAATGTGAAGAGAAGACTGTATCAGAACGCCAGAAGCAACCTTCCATGATAGCGGTCAAGGAGCAGTTGCTATGGAGGGCTTTGGAGGGCCATCGTCAAGGCTATTCCACGAGTCTCATGAGGATTGGAAGCGGCTGGAGGAGGCAACCCTGCAAAGGTGTAGGCTCGCAGGATCGTGGCACGCATCCAGAAGGCCAATGTGGTACGGGAAACCTCAGTTCTTGAAGCGTTCAACAAGGGTATGAAGAGGTGCTTCCGTAGCCGTCGACGATCCTTGGAGGCAGCAAGGTAAACGTGTACAGCCCTAACAGGGCAGAGAGTTAAATCTTCAGTATCATCAGGCCCAAGAATGGTCGACAACGGGGGAATGGTAAACATGGTTTTTCGCAATGAAGTCCCAGCGGAGACACAGGAAAGCCTTGCCATGCTTCTTCCGCTCGAACCGCACCCGATTGACATCAAGCGCATGCAGTTCAGATATACGAGCAGCGGTAGCCAAAGCTACCAGGAAGAATGTCTTGAATGTCACTTGTTCGAAGTCCTTGTCTTCCAAAGGTTCATAATCTGTAGAAATCACATGACGAAGGACGGCGGACAGATCCCAGGCGGAGGTCTGAACTTCCCTCGACTTGTCAGAGACTCCATAGGAGCGTAGTAGACTCTGCAACTTCGGGAACAGTGGAAATCTTTGTGCCCGTGGTGGTAGCCAAAACCGAAAGTTAATGGGCTAAGAAGGTAGCTAACGTAGTACCCTTTGAGTTTCTTAGTAGTGCAGAGATGCTGGAGAAACTCAGCAAATCGACCTGAGCCGAGGTGGAAGTGGGGAGATGCAATTCCCCTAAGCTGGCAATAGTCTTCAAACTTCTTCCACCTGTTGTCGTTACAAGGAATGGGTCAAAGTACGACTGCGCTGAAGTGATAGCTGTGGCTAGAGTAGCCCTTAGCTATGAGAGACCTGAGGTGACCCAATGGCGCAGTTCGGAAAGTGAGGGTGAAGAAGTAGGTCGTCCCGGCTGGGAAGCGGTACTGGGTTTGGCTCTGCCAGGCTTCTTAGGTTGACGAACCAACTTCTCGCTGGCCAGAAGGGTGCGACCAAAAGCAGTAGTATGTTGCTGGTGGCCAATAGTTTCTGTATTACTTTTGGTAGCAGAGCTGGAGGGGGAACGCGTGAGGCATTGAGACCCTCCCATGATATTGCCAACGCGGCCGAGGTCCCACGCCAAGGACTCTGGGATTGGTGATACAAACTTTGGAAGTTGGTTGTTGAACCTTGTGGCTTAACAGATCTATTTTGAGGCGGTGATAACGGGTAGATCATCGACTGAAAGATCTTGGGCAGTGACTTCCACTCTGTCGGGACGGTCGGTTGGATCGGGACAAATCGGCAATCACATTTTACCCGGGAATGTGTCTGGCTCTGGCTACGATGTTAGGTGAGTCGATGAGATGGAAGAACCTCATCGCCCATTGTAGCAGATTCGCTGAGCCTGTCGAGCTTAGATGATTTATATACCAAACCACTGTCGAATTGTCTGATTGATCAACAGACTGGTTGATTGGAGGTCTGTTGCCCAATGTGATATGGCTTGAATTACCGCCTTGAATTCCAGCTCGTTTATATGAAGTACCCGTTCGTCGGATGACCACAGCCCGGCCACTTGGTGGCCGAGGAAGTGAGCTCCCCAACCCATGAGGGATGCATCGACGAATAGGTGATGAGTCGGTGCAAGGGGCATCATAGAGACTCCGACGCAAACATTCCGTTTGTCGAGCCACCATTGAAGGACTGGACGAAGCGGTTCTGGAAGGCAAATTAGTTCCTTGGGGTTGTCGGCCTGTGAAGGTACGGGCGTAGAAATCGCTGTATCAGCCGAAGTTGGCCGGGAATCGGGCATTGAACTTCATATTGAAGATGAGCCGGAGTTTGATGGAATTTTTCTTTGGAACCAAGAAGATGGGGGAGTAGAATCCTGGAGTGACGGCAATGGACTTAGTACCTCTATCGCGAGTTTGTCTAATAGCATACCTATTGCGGATTGCAGAGTCTGAAGCTGGTCCACGGATATGAGCGATGAGCCGGATGCGACGTCAGAGGTGGACTGCCAATAACGGGTAGCTGAAAGCCGTGAAGTAGCAGGTTGGTGACGTACGGATCTTTGAGAATGGTCCAATTCGGGGCTAAGATCTGCAATCTCCGCCTACGGAGTGTTGTAAATCGGAACGACTGGGAGGTCCCAGTCGTATGCGATTGTCTCAAGCCATCACTGCTTCCTGGCGCTGGACCCTGGGCCACAGTTGGTCCTTTGGGGAGGCACCACCACGGCCTTGAGTGGATGCGCCACGAAAAAGATTGCGTTAATCCGGATTGGTAGGGGTGAACTGTGCAGCTCATCGCTGTTTTAATGAGTCCTGGAGCTGTGACTTCTGTATCTTTAACAGTTCAATCAAGTGGGTTTCTTTATCAACTTTATTAGATACTTCTTGGATGCTACCATTGAAGAGGGAGTCAGTAAACCAAGGCTGGCGAAACAGTTCTGTTTTAAATCGCTCCTCCCATGTTAAGGGGTCCAAGTCGGCGAACTACAAGAGTGTAGCCCAAAAAATGAGACAACTGATCCAGGATAATTTGGAACTGGTCCAGGGCTAAAGTCATGCATCCTCGGATGTAAGCGTCAGAGTAAGTATGCTCCAGAGCAGTGTTAACAGCGTCGACTGCTGCAATCACGCAACTAATAGATGGCAACGTCTTTCTCACAGCTGAATCCATGTGAGCCAACTCTCAGTCCTCAATAAGGTAGACAGATTATATCTGGGAGCAGAGAATCCGTCCTTAATTCGTTTCAGACTTTTGAAACCATCATTTAGTGTACTGGATAATTTCAGAATACAAGGTCGAGGTGGTAGGGTGATGGTAGACCAACCCCGATTCCTAAGAGTATAAGAGTGATCCAGGTCATCTGCTGAATTACTCAAGGGAATTTGGAGCTTCTCAACAATCCAAAGGAGTACCTGAGGTGTCTCAACTGCTGCAAAGCTACCCCCAGGGGTAGATAACTCGGAGTGAGCGGGAGATGCAGGCATGGCTATTTGGACTGGATCAATCTCAGGAGGTGGACCAGATAAGGGCCACCGAAGCTACCGAAGCCGGATTGGCTGGAGTAGAAGGCTGTATTTGGTTCCAGGCTGAGGTTATGGCCCTGATCATCATATTTAGATCTGGAGTCACTGTAGGAGTGGGATTGTTATCAGGTTCCCATGACTCAGCGATGATCCTAGAGTGAGTCGAAGGATTCTCAGAGCGTGTAGACGGAACATCATAAGAGACTGTAGGCCTATTAGTGGTATCAGAGCAATGATCGCCCGAACGTCGGTCAGAGGAACTGTATCGAGATCTCGACGTGGTAAGTACTGAAGTAGGTTGGTAAGCTGGTGATCTGGATTCCCTAGTATGGCTAGGTGATCCGGTATGATATGAAGAACTAGTGCGGGTCGCTGTAGTTCTAGTTGGTGAACTGGTTCTGACTGGAGCTCTGGTTCGACCATCTGAATAGGATCGGCCATGAGATGTGGATCTGTACTTTGATCCTGATTGGTCAATGGCTCTGTAAGGTGATCTAGGTCGTATAGGTGACCTAGGTTGGTAAGATGATCTGGATTTGTAAAGTGATCTGGATCGATTCGATGCACTAACTGGAAACTGTGATCTGGTTTGCAGTTGCGATCTGGCTTGATTTGGTGATCTGGATCGGTTAGGTGATCTGGATCGGTCTGGCGATCTACTCGAATGTTGTGATCTGGATCGGTTAGGTGACCTAGATCGGTCCGGTGATCTGATTCGAAGTTGTGATCTGGACCCGATTGGTGATCTGGATCGGTTAGGTGATCTGGATTGATCAGGTGATGTGGATCGTAGTTGTGCTCTGGATCGTGACTGATCTGGATCGATCCGGTGATCTTGATCGGCACAGTGATCTAGACTGGGCTTGTGATAGTGATCTGGATCGTGAAGGTGATCTAGATCGTTGTGGTGATCTAGAATGATGTGGCGATCTGGATCGGCAATTAGGTGACGAAACCTGAAGTGTTGATTCATGATGAACATCCCCCGGCGACGCTGTTGTAGCCAGCTCCGTCCGATTCAATGAACTGTGGGGAGACAGTTGGCTGGTTGAATGCGATTGGCCAGGCTCCAAACAAACTGAGACAGTCGAGGGGATATGTACCGATGATCTGGATGATAATAGTGTCGATCTAAGGTCCCCTGGTAGTGTAGATGGGACAGGCAATGAAGAATTATCGATCACAACCACCCGCAAGTGATCTGACGCTATGGAAGGAGGTGATTGATGCGTAAGTAATAGGTGCCGAACGTCATCATATAAGTAAGAATCTGATGAAGCGTCCATAAAATCTTCTTGAACCACAGACGTCGCTCTCTTGCATGAAGGTACAATTTTCTGTCGCTGTAACTTGATACGCTTGGCGGGAGTGGGATCAGATTCTGTTGATTTCCTGTCCCTATCGGCGATTCTCCGGGAGCAAACACGAAGGTAGGCCTTAAAATCCTCATCTTTTAGTGAATTACACTTGCCACATCGTTTGTTCTTACATTGTCCAATACAGTCACTGCAAGACGAGTGAAGGTCGAGGGATGAAAAAATTTGTCTTGCATTGAGCACAAACTTTCCTTTTCCTTGACTGATTATCAGTTTTCCCCATGATGTTAAGGTGAAATAATGTCCCTAATATACAGCACGTCCACACAGTCGTGCGACAAGAAAGAGAATGATCATTCAAGGTAGTCACGTGGGTAATTAGTGGAGCATGCTGCAAGCTTTATTAGGAACTAGGAAGTTAATTAAGGAGAGCAGCATGGAGTGCACGGGTGAATGGACAAGGAGGCCTATGGAAAAAAGTTTACAGTCGTTCCACTAAAAGTCGAAGCAAGAGAGAGAGGTGCGAGTAGGATAAGTTTAAAAATGTAGAATATATACCGTATTGAAGGAAATGGATTAATGCCTAGGAAAGGATATTCAGGATGAGAGGTCTCAACTGTGTAAAATACTTAAGACTGAAGATAAGTTGTATGAGCCACGTCTGACTGGAAGGCAGACAGAAAAGAAAATGATTTTGCACAGGCCAAGGTAGGTAACTCTGGTATAACAGGGCACAAACTTCAATCTGTTTCAGCTGTCTCTCTGTTCCAGTACTGTCTATTTGGTTAAGGTAGGGAAAATAAAGCACTGTGTAGCATGAGGTAAGGTAAAATTAGTAATATCAATATAAACACTAATTACCTAATTGATACAGAAATAATGCACTGGGAATTTTGATTATAGCATTTTCATCATGGAATCTCTGCTCACAATTCCTTCAACAGCTTTTGATAGTATTAATACTGGGTTCAACCACCAGGGCCTAGGAAAAGGCTTCAGTGATGTAGTGGCATTCTACTTCACAACGTCAAACATTTAACTGTCACTCAAATACATCACCTTGACTTGCATGGTAGGCATAAAGCCATCCATCTGATTGAGTAGCTCCAACATGGTTCTCTGAACCTCTCTGTCACCAGCCTTCTCACTGTCAAAACGCTTTGTACCTGAAAAACATTATTAGGGATTATCAGCACTGGTCAACCTAAAACTTCAGATCTGGTGTTAACTGTGCTGTCTATAGATACAATATGTGCAACCAGGGACTTTGATTAACATTTACATAAATTACCCATTACTGTATTTCAGAAAGATTCCTGTAGCAAATCAACCTACCAATAGCATCTAATTCATCGATAAAGATGATAGCTGGTGCCTTCTCTTTTGCCAGAGCAAATGCATCCCTGACCAGCTTAGCGCCATCTCCAATGAACATCTGTACAAGCTGTGGGCCAGCAAGCTTGAGGAATGTGGACTTGGTCTGTGCAGCACAGGCTCTGGCCAACAGAGTCTTCCCAGTGCCAGGAGGCCCATACAACAGTACACCTGACAAGCACATATTCATAAATCACAACAGAGCCTGCAATAAATAGGCCAATCACAAAGGCCAATTGTGTTAACCTGTTAACACTGATATAAAACAAGAGTCATCAGAAGATGACAAATCCCCCCGGCCCCCACAAATTTGAAAGAACAAGCATTGTCACTAAGGTGACATAATCCCCCGCCGCATATTATCAAATCAAACTTATAAAGTAATGAAAGTTTAAGTTAAATGTCAACAAAAACATGACCAGTCAACCTCTCTTGATATCTTGCTCTTTAGGTGTTCAAACACACACATATTTTCAAGACTGACTTTGACCTTGACATGAATGTCATAGTGTATGAAATTTGCAAAAATAGTACTAAAGAAATTGCTTATTGAAAAACATTTAAGGGAAGTCTTGAAAGTCTGAAGAAAATCCAGTGAACCGTTCTTGAAATATCTTGCTGACAATTCAGGTTAACATACTGAAATCTTCAAAGTGTCGCTGTGACCTTGAAAATTAAGTGAAGGTCACCAAAATCAACTGGGCCCTGCGCCTTCCCTGGATGAAGCTTGGTGTCAAATATGAAGAAACTCCAGTTAATGGTTCTTGAGGTATCTCGCTGACCAGCACAACAGGCAGGTAAATATTCTGAAACCTTCAAAGTGTCTCTGTAACCCTGCACCTTCCCTAGATAAAGCTTGGTGTCAAATATGAAGACAATCCAGTGAACGGTTCTTGAGATAGCTTAACATGCAGGAAAAACGTGAAAGTCCCCTTGTGACCTTGAAATGAAGGTCAAGGTCACCAAACCTGACTTAGACCTTTCTTATACTGTAATGAACCTAGGTACCAAATATGAAAAGAATCTAGAGAACGGTTCTTAAGATATTCAAATTCGTACGTACGTACAGACGGGCGGAGGAGGAGCCTAATACTACATCCCCCGCTTAGCGCTAAACGCGCGGCGGGGGATAACAAATCATCTGACAGTTACTTAAAGTCCAACTTGATTTGTTTGGAGTAAGTCCAAATTGTTTCCATGGAAATCATGAAAACTACAAATGCCCCAAATCTGCAAAATAGCAAAAGGCACCACTTAAAGATCTGTTTGATATATCTGCCTAGTCTTGTAGAAACATATTGAACGTTTTTCGAGTTGTGCTCCGGAAACAAAGCCCACCCCTCCCTCTTGAGACTAAGTCCAAAACATTTCCATGGAAACCGAGGAAAATATAAACGACATAAATCTGTAAAGAGCAAAAGGCACCACTTTAGGTTCTGTTTGATATATCTACCAATTTTTGTTGAAACGAATTGAACGGTTTTTTATTTATGCTTCGGACAGACAGACGGACGGACATTACATGCCGGGGGGATACAAAGCATATACATATTACGATGATTGCCTGATGGCAATTGTCATCTTAAAGCACACACAATATTATTCATATCATCATGAAGTGTTTGGTTGTTTCTTTTACAGCAGTTGCGTGAATCGTTTCATCCATCAGTCCACATGATCAATGATTCATTTTCAGGCTCTAAAGAAATTATCAAAACATACAGTTCTTTACACCATTACTTCACAGAACCCTCACACTGCCTGTTAGGAACCCTAAAACTAAAAATTGGGGGTCCCCTGGACCCCCATGTTTGTGAGTCGAGGTAAAACCCTGTAATAAGTAACAATCAGCAGTTTGTTTGTTTTCTGGGTTACATCTTCTTTTTATTCTCTTTTTAACCTTTTTATTTTATTTTTATTTTCATAACCCAGAAAAAATCTCTATGTTCATCAAATATCATCTTCTAAAATGCCAATCAAGCATCAAATCAACAGTTTGTTTTGAAACAGCATCTCTGTTAAAGAGATGATCCCAACAAGGCTCAGAAAAACTAACTTGCTCGCCTTGAGCCTGTACATATACTCACCCTTTGGTGGCTGTATTCCAAGTGCTTCAAACCTATCTTTGTGGGTCATTGGCAGCACAACAGCTTCAATCAACTGTAATGTATTAAGACAAAGACATGTATTGGCATAATCCTCAGACACAACAGCTTCAATCAACTGTAATGTATTAAGAAGAAGACATGTATTGGCATAATCCTCAGATACAACAGCTTCAATCAACTGTAATGTATTAAGAAGAAGATATGTATTGGGATAATCCTCAGATACAACAGCTTCAATCAACTGTAATGTATTAAGAAAGACATGTTTGGCATAATCCTCAGACACAACAGCTTCAATCAACTGTAATGTGTTAAGAAGAAGACATGTATTGGCGGCATAATCCTCTGACACAACAGCTTCAATCAACTGTAATGTATTAAGAAGAAGACATGTATTGGCATAATCCTCAGACACAACAGCTTTAATCAACTGTAATGTATTAAGAAGAAGACATGTACTGGCATTATCCTCAGACACAACAGCTTCAATCAACTGTAATGTATTAAGAAGACATGTATTGGCATAATCCTCAGACACAACAGCTTCAATCAACTGTAATGTATTAAGACATGATTGGCATAATCCTCAGACCTGTTTACCCTCAACTTGCCACTCAAGTAGTTCAAAGAGAATCTTTCAGCAGTTTCAGCTATTTCCCAACAATGGCTTTTACCAACATGGAAGCAGGTGCAATCGAACTCATACATGTTACAATCAACAAATAACTGTTCCCACAGTATTGCACAGACAGTGCATCTCAGTGCATGATGACTCATTGCATCATTGTGTTGGCTTTAACATGCAATTTTGTTAGTTTTCTTCAGTTGACATCAAGTTACTGGCCATTCTTGATAATTATCACCCCTATTGCAACATCCTTATTCTGTCATGCTCACTTAGTTCAAATATAGTATCACCTGTGGTAAAACAGATAACCATGATAACATTTGATACTGATCTGATCAAGTATGGTATGCATTTGTTCACAATTTTGTACTATATTTCACTCCAAATTACAATGTTCATTCATCCATCCCTTGATGCATGCAATAATCTTTAAATTCTTAATTATTTCAAAATCTGTAGAAACTGCAGGTGTAAACAGGTATGAACCCTTCCATTTTCACACACATTTCAAGTAGCAGTGGCAACAAATCATACCCAATAAAATGATGTTCATTTTCCAATCTTTCATAAGAACACAGTTTTTGAGCCTAATATCCATCAGGACATAGACTGTGATTTGCAAAATGTAAATCCTACCATCAATGTGAATATGATGAGTTCTACATAAAACATGATAACTCATTATTCATATGTGGTAAAAGATTTGTTTTATGAGCTCCCATGCCTCATATAAAGACTTATTAAGACAATAAAAGCACTAACCTCTTGAATCTGTTTGTCCAATCCTCCAATGTCACTGTACTGCTCAGTGGGTCGCTCATCCACTTCCATGGCCTTCACTCGGGAGTCATACCTGTCATACACATCAAGGTGCTATATACTGTATTTAGACACATACAATTTCATTGTTGAAACACATGTTTGTTGCAATCTGCAATATTCGGCTTTTGTAAATAAGTCAGCATCTTCAGTCTGGACAGGACTAATAATTGTTTGATAGCATAACAAAAATGTATGTTTACAATGAACAAACAACCAGCAACTAACTGATATAATGCAATCAGGCCTAGGATCACAAGGGCTGTACCAAGTGTTCAGGGGTTCAATACTTATGTATTGTTTCAAGGTGAATAACCTTAAATGTACACATAAGAGATTTGCGGGTTGCGAATTCCAGCATCCTATACTCATAAAAATTACAACGGACTAACGAAATTGATTAACTCGTCCACAGGGACACAGAAAAAGTCCAAATACTTTTTGTAAAAAATTCGATCAAGTAACAATAAGTTATCACCGATTCGGGTTATGGTATCATTTGCAATTTAATTACTGTTACAATGTGATGATCATGATACACAATACAATAACAGTAACTGAATTACAACAATATTACAACATAGTGTTAAAAATAATGTTTAAGTGCCTGGGACCCCCATTTTGTAGTCCAGGACCCCTGAAAATTAACAGTATGAGTCCCAGGGACCCTCAAATACAGACTCAAGGTAAATCCCTGTACATCAAGCAACTTAACAACAGAAACAAGCATAAAAATATTACATGAGTGGATCAGTTAGATTTTTAAGTGAGATGAGTTACTGACGAAGTCAGTGGATCTTAGATAATAACCACACTACTTACTCTTGAGGAAGGGTCTCCAAAATAAGATAGGAGTCCTTGTTTACTCCCTGAAAAACAGAAAAAATATATGAATAATAGATGCCCAGCATAGAACGATATGCGCAACAACTAATGCTTTCCTTAAATCTGAGGGACAATGGCCATGGCATAAGTTCAAGAACAAGAATCTGAAAATTAGTAAAATCTAAATATTTTTATATATGTGTACTTATCCTGCACTACTTACTTCCTGCACTTATTGCTTACGACTCGAAACGTGGCTGTGCCAGACGATTGATGTTGAAAGTGTAGACTGTGATCACTTCCTGGTCTCCGGTAAACATCCGTCTGCGCACGCATCACCGGAAGGTGACGTCAGCTATCTCTGATTATTGCCGTAAATCCCACAGATGAAAACAAAGAGGGGAGGTAGCTGAAAGCGCAGGGTTGGCCCTTATCATAAGTAGTGCAGGATAATTATACAAATATAAAAAATATTTAGATTTTACTAAATTTTTAACTAATCCTGCACTACTTACTTCCTGCACATTTATCAGACAGGAGGGCGTGTCATCTGTGGGGATTGCCTCGCAAGGTAAACAAAGACAGCTCGGTCAATGTTATCAAGTGCGCCTCGGTGGTGGAAAACCGTCGTCGCACCTAGATCGGACAGCGAGAGACGATCAGGCAGTGGTAATACACATATACTAGTAAGACACGGAGTCTTAAATGGAATATACCAGACGATTTTTAAAGGGTTATTAGCTTTAGGGAAATGTAGTAAAAAGCAGTGACTCAGGTTAACCCAAGCGTTACTCCTTAACTGACACACTCAGTTGTTCTCCTGGAACAACTCTTTTCCCATACATCGTCGGCGTGCTTCATGGGAAGAAAAAGCATGGTGGAAGGTATCTTCGTTGCACCTGGCAGAATAGTTAACAGACAGTGACTATCTCTCAGTGATAATTCGCATATAAGACATGTTGGCTTAAATGGAAAAGACCACGCGATTTTTAAAGCGAGATTAGCTTTAGGGAAATGCAGTAAAAAGCATTGACTTGAGTTTTTCGAAGTGTTGCTCCTTAACTGACACACCCAGTTGTTTCCCTCGGAACAACTCTTTTCCCACACAGCGACATCATGCTTCGTGGGAAGAAATATCATGAATGAAGACACCTTCGTGGAATCTGGAAGACTGATCGACAGAGAGGAATTACATCTCAGTGGTCATTCGCATATAAGCCATGTACGCCTAAATGGAAAAGGTCACCCGATTTTTAAAGCGTTATTAGCTTTAGGGAATGCAGTAAGAAGCATAGACCTGAGTCTATCCAAGTGTTCCTCCTTAACTGACATACCCAGTTGTTTTGCTCAAAACAACTCATTCCCCACACGACATCGTCATGCTTCATTGCGAACAACAATGTAGGATGTGATATCCTTTTGGGATTGTTGAGGTGCTGGTCTGGCACCAATGGTCCGAAGCGTTGGACACATATGGTGTGGATACTAATGGGGCAAAGACTGTGTCCGACATCTAGAAACACTCTTGCATTATCAGTGCCACTGTACAGTTACAGTGAAGCACCATAGTAGAGGCGAGTATGGGAAGTACTGGAGGTTGGCGTAGATGTAGGGGAAACCAGACCAGCCGCATTATACGCATGAATAAAGGAAGTCTGTATCCACAAAAAACACAGGGTTTTGCTTACATGCCTCTGACGGCGTGAGTTTGCTTAATGTACAAACTGAGTACACCAGCTGAACACAAGAGGATCACAGGAACGTCTTCACACAGACAACAGACGATAAGGGTGAAATAGAGAACCGTCGTTCATTTCGCCCTAGCTGGCAACGGGTGTGTAGTGATGAAACCCCCATAAAATACCCAGAGGTACAGAACCATGACTGCGTTGTTCAAACTGGATCCAATTAACACAAAGCGCACCAAACGCATGACCCTTGTCGCTATCGCTGTGCAAGTCTGCAAGGGAAGTGTTCGTGAGTGACTTGTAAAACACAACGCGTAGGCGGTCCAGGACCATGTTGAGAGTCCTGGCGGGTGGTCAAATCTGCAGCTTGGGTACACAAGTGCTAAAGAAACGAAGCACGGACGGTAACTCCTGTCAATGGGGATTGCTAAAACGAATTGGCACTAACATAAGTGGCAGCCATGTCCCTCCTGAAACGCCTTCCGTCTAAAAATACAGCAGGGAAACTGCTAAAAAACGGGGGTTTTTTTGGTTTGTTTGTTTTTGTTTTTGCTTTGTTGTTTTTTGTATTCAGCGGATCCTGCTTCGTGGCAACACAACTGCTCGATTGACTGCCCCTTGTTGTACATATGCCTGATGGGAGTCTAATGTTCATCAGCAATGCAGGCACAATGCTCTGGCTGAAAAGTAATTGGCGCATAATGCTGCCTGCAGATGCAGTGTGTTAATTGAACCGTTCTGGCGTGGGATGAGGATACACTATAGGATGTTTCCCCATCTGGCTAGTTGAAGAGGGGCACTTGACACTAGACTGCTTCAAATCAGAAACCAACCTCTGGTTGGTCATCTGGGACCGACTAAATATAGTCAAAGTCAAGTTGTTAATTCTTGATTGGGACGAAAACATTTGGAAGCAAGACAGGAGGACACGTATTTTGCATGTAGCTCCCCCAGAAAAGGCTTAAGCCATCCGCTGCCCAGGTTGACCATCCAGAGAAAGAGACACATAAACCGGTATCTCTTTGTGTAGCATTCAGTCTGTGAAAGCGACTCTGTCAGATCCCGATATAGCGTCCGCTAAGATGTACCTGCACCCAGGAATATGACGAGTTCTCAGACAGACATGGGTGTCGGCTATTACTGGAGAACAGACGGAACTTCTGGAAACAGTAACCCGGTCAAACTCTTGTTAAACCACACAACAATCGGGTTGCCCAGGAGACATTGCGCCCAATGACGGATAGCGAGGAACACTGCCTAGAGCTCCAATCTGCTGATTGACCTCTTGACCGAAACCCTGAAATTATCAGATTTAGTAAGGGGGCATCTAAATTCTGCATGGAGGCGCCAACCTAAACGTAGGTGGTTCGGAACTCGCTCAGTCAAGGGGACTGCAGCTATGACATCTATGGGCGGGTCCACTACAAGAAAAAAATACTGAGGTAAGTAAGGCAGGAGACCGACACGTTGACGAATGTCTGCCTGTCATTCCCGGGTGGACATTGGTCCGAACAGCACACATGGGATGAGGGTCTAAAACCTGTACCTGCCGGATTCCGAATGAGGATCCTGTCTGCTTGAAAGAGGCCTCAAATGTACGTCAGTGTGTGTGATGGTACAGGTCCAAAACGTCCCGGTTGACAAGTCAAACCCAGCTTATTAGCCCAGCTAGTATAAAGACGTATGGTGAAAAACGGCTGCTGTCCGTATGCAAATTATAACGCCATATGGTGGAGAGCACACATGAAATCACCAAATTATCACTGTTGCTGCATTATGATATGAGTTAATAATAACCATGGAGCTGTTGAAGTAAAAGTGCAGGTACTCCCGATCGAAAGTAAACCTCGGAACCAGGCACATCATTGAGGCAGCCAGAACACGTTTCCAGATGTCGTGACGTATGGACCCCCCAAGAAATAACCAATTACGTCAGAAACGCAGTAGTCACCAATGTACGGGTGTTTGGATAATACAAGGGCCTCAGGAAGAGGGAGTGTCCAGTCGTGTGGATCTTGAGCTTCATTTGCCCCTGCTTCCGTCACCCTTGAAGGGGATGCAGCTACGTTCATATTTTCCCTTGTCGATATGAGACTTGTCACCACGTCTCCAACCACGGATCGGAGCCTGATTCCAAGCCCGCCTAACAGTGTGGCGCCGAGGCAAGAGTAGGTACTGGATTCATGTGATGAGGGATGTTGGACTTGCTGGAAGGTCGTCAACGCTATCTCCCTCTTGGGAAAGTCACACACTGTTCGATAGACATCCTTGGACTCGTTATTAAATATGGTAGTCAAGGACTAGGGTTGGCCAGATAGATTCCACTGAAACTTTGAATCCCAACCGGAAAAGGTGAGAGAAAGCCTTGACCTCAAATAACACATGCATTGGCGAGATCTGCCCGTAAATGTTCGCCAAGGACAGTGAGGACCATCCACTACCAAGCCATCATAGAAGAGAGGTGACAATCCTGTACGGATTCATCTCAGGTCAGGTCTGGAAAGACAGTGTTAATAGCGGAAGCTAGGTTTGAGAACTGTCATGCGCTTAATTTCTTGACAAGGGATAGCGTAAACGCCACGCCCGGCCTTAGGCGCCATAATAGTTGAAGTCTCCGAAGGCAAGATGTGTTCGTCTCCCGACGTAGGGGCCATCGGAGACAGCGGCGCAACCAACAGCTGCTGAACCCTTGACGATGTTGGAGGTGGTGACGCAGTATGTCAAACACCAGAGGCACTGAATATAGTGAAGGCGTCGTCCTGCTGGTAGCGCCGTACAGGCGCAGATCCAGTAGAGGCGCCATACAGCTGCACTGGGAGAAAAGCCGAACAAGACGCTGGAGTGAGTGAGTATGATGGTATAGGCGTTGGATCTCGAAGAGGCGCCGTACAGCAAGTAGTGCCATACAGGCGCAATACCTGGTAGAAAAAACGGACAGGCGCTGGAGCGAGTAGGCGCCGTACAGGCGCTATATCTGGTAGAACCGCCGGACAGCCGCTGGATCTTAGGCGTCAGGAGTATGACGCCTGCCATGGAAACTCTGAAAACAGCAACCTGGAGAATGGAGACAGAGCGCCAGACGCCCTTGAGTTAGTGGACATCAGTGGTGTGGCAAGTATCTGGGTGCTTGCCATAGGCGACGTCGGTGTTGGACCTGGCGTTCATAGACGGAAAGAAAGGTGTTAAGATGATATATTAAGAAAGCGCAACAAGCACATTCATTCATGTGAAAAAACGGGAAAAAAAAAACGGAAAAGTGCAATTCAAACAGTATGAATGAAGGCACTTATGAGATACCCCGCGTGCGTGTAGCCTTACAAACTATACAGCGTGTTCCGTATAGAAACTGCAACATAGCAGAAACCCGCAGCAAGCACACGGTGAAAAACATGCAATAGTAATGATGAACACACGGGGAAACAGCATAATTGAGAACAAACGTCTCACAAATACTGACGAAAACTGGAGACCAGAATTAAGGCTTAATATACGATAATAGTATAACAAATAAGCATGAGCCAAGAACAAGCCACTACGAATACATCGAAGCCACGTGTTCTGAATGGTGAAGTGACCGATAATAGTGATGAAAACTTGGTAAAATCTAAGTATTTTAGATATTTACATACTTACCTCTTATCATCTTATATGCATACTTGCCTTACTCTCCGTAAACAGACTGCAGAACAGATCGAAAGCTTGCTAACCTATAACTCGAGATCGATCGAAAAGCGGTTGCTAACCTATAACTTCACGTGAACAAGGTGGTTCGGAACAACCAGGGAACGATTAGGAGGCTTGATGGGCTTCAGAGAGGTAAGTATGTAAATATCTAAAATACTTAGATTTTACCAAATTCTTTACTTACCTCTTATCATCTTATATGCATCTTATCCGACAGTGCTGGAAGGTGGGACGTTCTAACCATTGTTCACCCAAAGAGACCAACGAATCAGACGTATGGAACAGTGAATGCTTGGGGGTCTGCAAGCAAAACAAAGACCATGAAAGTGACGCACGTAAAGGGAACAATAGGTGAGGTACTCTCACAATTGTTCCTGTACAAAAGTCACAAAGCCTCCAAAGGAAGAGAACAACGCCTCGTACCTTAGTGAGTAGAAGGACGTGTCATCTGTTGAGCCACAACAAGAGGACCAAAACTCTGAAGGCCTTCCACATCTTCAACTGCCACGTCTCGAAGATAATGGCTGGCAAAAACAGTGTTAGACTTCCAAAAACAGCCCTCCATAATCGTTGGAATTGAACAATTCCTATGAAGAGCCATTGTGGAAGCCAAAGCCCGAATTTCATGCGGGTTAGTCGCCTTAGGAGGAGGTAACCCGGCTGCCTCGTAGGCATTGATGATGGTCGTCCGCAACCAGAGGGCCACTGTGTTCTTGTTGACCTCCCCTTTGGAGCCTGTCGATAAAGGGAGGAACAACCGTTTTCTCGTCCTTCGTCTAGGAGCTGATCTAGAGATGTATTCTCGTAAAGCTCTCACGGGACAAAGGGAAAGCTCGTCTGTGTCCTCTGCCCCTACCACAGAGGAGAGAGGTGGAATGGTGAATCTCCGATCTGGTTGTCCCGGCAACTGATTCTTAGCCACAAAGTCCCATAAGAGACCCAAGTGGACAGCACCATGACGAGATTGCTCAAAGTGGATTCTCGTGACGTCTAGGGCGTGAATCTCGCTAACCCTTGCGGCTGTGGCCAAAGCCAGAAGAAAGACCGTCTTCCTGGACAACAGATCAAAAAACGCCTGGCATAAAGGGTCATACGGGGGACCTCGCAAGTGTTGAAGAACAATGTTGAGGTCCCAAGCCGGTGGACGAAACTTCACTTTCTGGTCCTCCAGTTTGAAAGCTTTCAACATAGCCTGCAACTCGGGGATCTTGGATACTCGCACCTCCGTTTTTACTGCCAGAACAGAGTTGATGGCCGAGAGGTAAGTCGCGATGGTACCTCCTTTGAGATGACGAGAATTCCGGAGATGAAGGAGGAAGTCTGCCAAAAATTGAGGGGAGGCCGTCAACGGTCGCACAGAACGGGAGGAACAGAACCATTCAAAGGTAACCCATTTGTCATCATAAAGACCCCTCGTTGAAACTCGATGAGCCCTCGAGATGATTCTGGACGCACCGTCCGAATAACCTTTCGCCCTCAAGGTCCTCTGTAAATGACCCAAACGCAGAGATTGAACCTCTCTGGGTCTGGGTGGAGTTGTCTGCTGTGAGGGTGAAGCAAAAGATTCCTCCACCCGGGCAGACGAACTGGGTGTGCGTTNGGCGAGACGCCTTAGCTCGGGGAACCAACCCCTCGCCAGCCACCAAGGCGCGACCAAAAGCAGTTTCAGACGAGTAGTTTGTCATATTTTCGCCACGATTTCCGGCAGAAGCACTGGAGGCGGAAGGTGTAGGCGTCGAGACTTTCCCAAGAGAGAGACAGAGCGACGACTGCCCACGCGGCTGGATCCGGGATCGGAGACACATAAACCGGAAGTTGATTGTTCAGGTTTGTGGCGAACAAGTCTACCATGGGCCTGTACTGGGACTGGCAAACGATATCGAACGCCTCGGGATGAAGCATCCATTCGGTGGGGGAAGGTTTGCCGGGCCTGGATAGAGCGTCTGCAAGGATATTTTTGCAACCGGGGATGTGTCGTGCTCGAACTGTGATGAGAGCCTGATCCAAAATCTCGAAGAACTGGAACGACTGATGGAGAAGACGTCGGGAACCCGTCGTCCCCTGATTGCGTATCACCCAAACCACTGTTGTGTTGTCCGATACAATGAGTAAGTTGGCTCTAGTGAGGCGATCTCGCCAATGAGATACTGCCAGAATCACAGCTTGAAATTCCAAGCTGTTGATGTGCCAGGACTGATGTTCTGTTGACCACAGTCCCGAGACTGGGTGGCCGTCCAGGTGTGCTCCCCACCCCTGTAATGAGGCGTCCACAAAGAGTTCCTGGTTTGGGGAGAATTCGATCAAACAGACTCCGACGCAGACATTCGATGGGTGAGTCCACCAACGAAGGTACCGGTGCAGATGCCACGGCAGTGGAATGCTGGACCTGAGATCGTCGGCTTCTATGAACGGTTTCAAAAACCTCTGAAGAGGCCGAAGCATGAGCCTCCCCCTGCTCGTGAGGTCCTGTGCCGACGTCAATAGACCTAAAATGGCCTGCCAATCCCTCAACTTGAGAGCCTGGGTCAACCCCTTGTGGACGCAGGCCAAGATCTTCACCCACCGGTCGGGTGGGATTCTGAGCTTGTCTTGATCGGTGAGGAAAAGTCCTCCTATGAAGGTGAGTCTCTGAGACGGCTCCAGATACGACTTCTCCCAATTGATCAACCAACCCAGTTGAAGGAATAATCGGAGAGCGTATTCCTTCTGTCTGACAAGCCTTTGACGATCCCAGTTGTTCATTAGACAATCGTCGATGTAAGGGCTGAACTCTATCCCTTGTAGATGAAGGAACCGTGTAATCGGCACCGTGATGCGTCTGAACAGCCACGGGGCCGAAGAAATTCCAAACGGGAGTACGCGCCATTGGAAATGCTGGCCCTGGAAGTAAAACCGGAGGTACTTCCTGTGGGGCCTGAAAATAGGAATGTGCAGGTACGCATCCTGTATATCCAGGCTGATAAGCCAGTCCCCTGGAGAGATCTTGGTCCGAAGCTGGTCCAACGAAACCAGTCGGAAATGAGGAGGATCCAACAGGTAACGGTCGTTGAACACCACCATATTGTGAATCATTCGCATTTTGTTGGTGTTTTTCTTGGGGACCAGAAAGATCGGCGAGTAAAACCCGAGGTTGTTGTTTGGGTCCTGTACCAGTTCGATGGCCCTTTTGTCGAGCAAAATCTGAATGTTTTCCGCTATTTGCTGATGTTGAGCCGCAGAATAAACGCTTGACCGAGGCAGGTTGGTCAGAGGCGGCTGACTGCATAAGGGAAGCTGGTACCCCCTTTTCAGAATGTTGACCACTAAGGGATCCTCCAGGAATGTCCAGTTGGGCCAAAAGATCCCCAATCTTCCGCCTACAGGTGTGGGATGGATCTGGACGACTGGGGGGCGGAAGGTCCCAGTCGTGGAAGTCTGATGCCTCAGCGGCGTTGATATTGTGGTTTGGTGACGGCAAGGGGCTTACCTCTCTTGCCTGGGGCACCACCGGTGGGTCGTCCCTTGGTTTGCCGGAACTTGCCAGCCCGGCGGACACAGGTGCGCTTGCCAACATAGGAGTTGGCCTTGGGCGCTGGATTTGTCTTACAAATGGCTCGAAAAGACTTGAGGGCTATCTCCGTGGTTGTAAAGGACGAATGTTCCTTATAAATCCCCCTTATGGCATCATTAAACAGGCACTAAACCGGCAAGTCACGTGGGACCGCCATTTTGGCAGTAACATGAGGCACGCAGGTGAAGTGAAAAAGCAAAATAAACACCGCGAAAACACCCACCCACCCTAGGAGGGATGAATGGGAGTCCAAAAAGAGATATCCAAGGACACAAGTCCCGGATACCCCACCACGAACCACGAACTCCACTCGAAGCGAGAGCGAAGAGAAAAACTAGCGAGCGAGGAAAAAACAAGAACGAGGAACTCACCGGTGAGTACGTTCTAACAAAGTTAGCAAACTTAAAACATACCAGAAGTATAGCAAATAAGAAACACAGGGGACACAATACCCCCGCAGTCAAAACTACAAGTCTTAGGATCTCGATCCACGTCTGATTCGGTACACGAATAAGAAAGGAATGACTTGTTCACGTGGGCACATGATAGACTGCTGTGACCTTACCGGTCACCCGCATGTCTTCAATCGAACCACCTTCGCGAGTTATAGGTTAGCAAGCTTTCGATCTCGACTTCTGCAGTCTGTTTTCGGAGAGTAAGGCAAGTATGCATATAAGATGATAAGAGGTAAGTAAAGAATTATCATGTTTAACACAAACACCATCACTACAACAGTACTACAAAAAAGAAACAGAAGGGTAATACCTACACCCTCTGAGAAACAAAGGAAAAACATCCAAAAGTCAGTTTATTATCAATAAACACAATTCATAGGATACAAATCAGTCGAGCTGGCAAACCACACGTCTTGCGAGGCGTGCAAAAAGCAATAATCTGAGGTGGCTGACTTCACCTTCCGGTGATGCGTGCGCAGATAGATGTTTACCCGAGACCAGGAAGTGATCACAGTCTACGCTTTCAACATCAATCGTCTGGCACAGCCACGTTTCGAGTCGTAAGCAATAAGTGCAGGAAGTAAGTAGTGCAGGATTAGTTAAAAATTACATTCTGTAAACATCACCCACCACAAGATCAGCTGGCTTGAGTTTCTCTGCATCTACAAGGCCAATAACAGGTAGGAAGTAGGTCTGAAAGGTAAAAGAAGCCCAAATGACACAACTGAACATTAACATGGCTTTATAAGACAATTAATAAGGAGAGAAAAAGGGACAAAGGCAGATACATCACACAAGAAAACACTGATGAAATAAACTGCAATATTTGTCACCAGTCATGCCAGTAATCAATAAGTAATTCACCAAAAACTTACATACATCTGAATCATCGCTTTATGTGATAGGCTAAGAAACATATAGAAGAACAAGACTTTGGTGACTTAAATGTTTTTGTTGAAATGAAGGCTAAACATGCTATCGAACCAGGTAAACAACACAGGCCCTCGTGTCTTTGCGAGGATTAAATATTTTATAAAATATATACAAACATTTGAGATGACCCCCCGACTCAAAATGCTTCACACCAAATACATTATGACAAGGCCAGACACTTTGGTGCACCCCACCCGCCTGCTTTGCCGATCGCTCTGCTACCATCGTATACAATTGATTAAATCTTAATGTAAACATGATCATGGATGATTGGCCTATCGAGCACCACTCATGACACCTACCAATTCTTTATTGTTATTTCTGCAAGTTGATTGAAACCCGATTTTGACTCTCAACTAAACGATCTTGACACAAATGGCTGACGATATATCCACACAAACCGGGGGTGTGGTCGAAGCAAGCCCTCTGGTTGGTTGATGTTTGTTAAGGAGACATTTACAAATAATGCTTTCTTTTGAGAAGCCATTGCTGGAAAAATCATCTTACATTTCTTCCAAGTCAAGCAGTCGATGAAAGTAAAAATTCCCGAGAATTTATAAAGAATGTGCAGATTTAGCAGCGTTGACCAACCAGAGGGCTTGCTTCGACCACACCCCCGTTTTGTGTGAATATATCGTCAGCCATTTGTGTCAAAATCGTTTAGTTGAGAGTCAAAATCGGGTTCAATCGACTTGCAGAAATAACAATAAAGAATTGGTAGGTGTCATGAGTGGTGCTCAATAGGCCAATCATCCATGATTATGTCTCCATTAAGTTTTAATTGATTGCATGCGATGGTAGCGTAGCGATCGGCAAAGCAGTCGGGTGGGGTGCACCGAAGTGTCCTGTCTTGTCATGATGTATTGTGCTGTGAAGCATTTTGAGTCGGGGTCATCTCAAAAACAATATTTTTTAATAATTAATCCTCGCAAAGACACGAGGGCCTGTGGTAAACAATGGATCAGTTGTAATACAAAGTATCTCCAGGTCTGCCATTATGTACCTGTCTGGTTGATGTCTTGATGACAGCACACTTGCCCTTGCGTTGTGAGTCCAGGTCAATGTTAGCCCCATCCTCCTCCTCCTGGTCATGAGGGTCCATGTCCAGTAGCTGCCAAACAAGTACAATGTCGATACAAAACAGACATACAGGACAGCTTTTATAGACAACTCATGTCCCAGGATATACAGGACAGCGTTTATAGACAAGTCATGTCCCAGGATAAACTGTGGACATAAACTTTCTGGACTTCCTGAACACCATCATGACTGCAAGAAAAGATCATTTTCATTCGTGATGGACCCATAAACTAACTCACAAACTATGTTATCATCCAAAACAGGATTTACTGTTATTTATATTCAAAATGGCCACCCCTCTGTTAAACTGTGAAATTGTGAGTGCCACCGATAAACAGTTTGATAAGATTTTGAATCATTAGAGTTGGTCAAATTCATCGCATTTGCCATTAAAGGAATCATGGTGAGTATCATTTTCATAGTTGTTGTGCCATCTGTACCATTTCAGTGTTCTACCATGCCATTCTACTATTTTTCGATCCCTGGTTTGGTACAATCAACCCAACAGATGAGACTAATATCATCAGATGATGATATGCTATCTACAAACAATAGAGTGAGTGAGTTTAGTCTTACGCTTCTTTAGCATTATTTCAGCAACATCATGGCAGGGGACACCAGAAATGTGCTTCGCACATTGTACCCATGTGGGGAATCGAACATACAATCAATAGAGGAAAACAGAATACAGAATACTGGAGACATTCCTTATCACGCTTATTGGTAAGGAATATGCACAAGATCCTTCCTTACTAATGTTTTCCAAATCTCTCTACTGCTATCTACTGGTAATGAAAGGTTAATGAAAAACACATGGCTGTTCAAATGTGGCTCTGATGGATGTCACAGATGACATGATGTAGTTCCCATTTTTAAGTAATATTTCTACATTAATCTCTAATTTCTTATGTCAGGGATGGCAACAGGAAAATCTATTTTCAGCTGAAAACTTCATAGTGTGTCATCGAATAGGGGGTTTGAATTGATCAATTTGAAGAGTAATTTTCAGCTAAATTTAAGCTTCATTACTCTATTTATATAATAGTTCTGTTGTGAGACATGTGCTGATAATTATGGGGCAAACATGTTGCAAACTTGGTAGATAGATAGGCTACCATCTTCTTAAAAACATGAATTCCACATTTCATGGTACAATCATTCCCCAATTGTATATTTTTAGTGCATGTGAAAATATTTCCAATACATACCTCAATGACATTTGAGACAAGATAGGGAAGTGTTTTGTTGACTTTAATCTTCTCATTGTTTTCCTTGATCTTCTCCTTTTGAGCCTGAAGCTCATGAGAGATCCGCATGATTTCAGATTTCATAATCTGCAAACCAAACCAAAAAGAGAGTCAGCCATAACCACAGACATGACAGAAGTACCAGAGCAGAAGCTGCTTCAATGTAAACTGTATTAACAAATACAATATGCCAGACTAACAATTTATTTAACAAATATAATGCTGATATCATACACAAACTTCACATAACAATTAACTTCTTTGTCACAAATTTTAAAAACCTCTGTTTTTGTTCTTCTGAAGTTCATTTTCCAAAGTTGTCACAAAAATTACATTACCATCTTTCCAGAGTTTTCCTCAATGCTAAGTCAAGAATTTTTCATATATTGACTCCATGTGAATAGCTGCACGCTGTGTCACATTGACATCAAATGATCGGTTATTATCAATATTATGATCACAACCCGTGAAGATCCAGATTATAATTGGTCTTCAGCAACCCAGCTTGTCGTGACAGGCAGGATCAGGTGGCCATGCTCTCTGACTTGGTTGACACGTCATTATATCCCAGTAGCGTAGATCAATACTCATGATGTTGATCACTGGATTGTCTGGTCAAGACTCGATTATTTACAGACCACCAGCATATAGCTGGAATATTGCTGAGTAAAGCAATAAACAACAAACAAACAGACATGATCACAACATGCATATCACAGTTACCTTTAAGTATAAAAGATAGATTCCTTGGGCCTACCTTAATCTCATTATCCAAGAGTCTTGTTCTGCTAACAATTTCATCAGTTGACATGCGCAATACTTCCTCCCCAAGTGATTCCTGGAATACATACATTTACAGCACATAAACACCAAACATACTGTAGGAAAACTGGGTTAAATTGTAGTGTAAGCAGGGGGGCAGGGGCTTCATAGCGGGATATTCAAACAATACGTACCACATATAGAATAACTGTCTACCAGATAGTCTTGTAGCACATTGTTTCACTTGCTCTTCTACGGGACAACTTCATTCCCTCCCCAGAGTGGAATGTTAGGTTTTATGTAGGGGGATGCTAGGTTCTTTATATTAGTGTTAGGCCGGGTTTGGGGAAAAGTAGAAGTAGGAAACGGAATAGGTATTAGGCTTTAGACCTTGGGTAATGTCCAGTTAGACGGGGTTGGTTTGGGGTGGCTTTTTAGAAGAAGTTTGAATATGGATTGTTAAAATGGGGAAGTTAGGTTCCTTTTAAACTAGTGTTAGGTCGGGTTGGGGGAGAATTAGGAGTAGGAAACGGAATAAGTATTAGGCTTTAGACTTTGGGTAACGTCCAGTTAGACGGGGTTGGTTCGGGAGGTTTTATTTTGAAGAAAGAAGCTGGTTTCTTAAACTTAATTATGTGAGTGAGAGAGAAGTGTAGTTTACAAACTGTTATGTTTTTGTTTGTCTTTTGTAATAAATTATTATCAATGTTTATCTTGTCTTTGTAATTTCCCTATAGGCTTTATGCCCGATTCACGAACTGGTCACTGAGTTTTGAGTAGAGAACAGATCAACCCTAACGCACACCTATAAAATAAAAGTACACAACACAATGTCCAAACAAGGTTGTTCCAACATCATGTTCCTACATACTACTTAACTTAACTCAGCTGTCACTGGACGATGGTAGTCTACTGAGAACCACACCTATTACAATAACTTAACCAACATATGCTAGTACATTTCACTAAAAGAATTAAAGGTTTCATTTTTCAAACTGATGTAACATAAGATGTATAGCCTGATCTCTTGAACCTAGATTATTGAAAAAGTGTTTGGAAAAACTGAACTTTACACGCTTTTTATTTTATCATCAGTAAAAACAAGTCTTATATTTGTCCAGCGCCATCTAAAATTTTCACATTTTATCATTAGTTTTCATGAGTGAGTTTTAGTTTTACCCTAGTTACACAGGAACCCGTTATCGGCATGTATTTATATATGTGACGTGCGTGTAGATCTATGGTCTATGTTTAACCTACATGCCGATAACGGGTTCCTGTGCCTAGTTATCATGAGATTGACTGTCACAGAAATATTAGGCTAGATAATATTTGGGTAATATTTTATATCAGGAAACAGGCATAACAGATGTTCTTTGTTGGTCCCTATATACATGCACTGTAGCTTGTAGCAGAGGCCATAAAATAAGATACATAATATGCTCTATGCTTGTATGTATTAGTAATAGTACAGTAATGTTAGTTAACATTGGTAAGCTAAGCACTCTGGTGTTTCAGAGGAATCAATCAGAGTAGTTGATAATGGCCATAATGTATACTGGGTTGTGAGGCTGGGTACAAGGTCAAGACTTCATAAAACATCAATAAAATCCCCAATCACCTCTCCATCATCCCAAATAGCTTTATCTTCCAGCGTCGCCATGTTGAAAATGAATCGGCACTTTCCGTTTGTTCAAAAGTCGAATCAGTACATGGAAAATAAATATTTTACTTTGTAATTCAGAGAATGGCATAATACTTCATGTATGTTTCAAGATCAATTAAATGGTATTTGTAAACATAAATATGTTTTATGTTCATTCGAAATCGTGATTTTAAAGTAAAATGGTTTATATCGTATTCATATTCCGTTTTCACTTTTGAAATAGAGTGAGTTTTAACCTAATGCTACACATTTTCAGATGACGTACTTCACAATCAGTTCATGGGAAGGCATGTGTGTGATGATTGTGCAGTGAAATTTGTCTTGTTTTTGACCTTGCGCCAAATTGGAGTAAGTTGTCCAAGTCATAACCTATGCCCGTCCTTTACTTTTTACAATTGCATGTTATTTTACAAAAATAGCTACCTTATGATAACTTGCAATCGAACACAAAATATCACTGTCCACTGTCACGGTTTTCGTGCATCACTCATCTCTATTTTTTCGGAGCTCCTGTCAACGGCTTGTCACTGTCAGTGAACATTTGGTTAATTCATTTTAAGAAGTGTATTTGTGCTATCATGTACTAGCAAGCACGTATTTGTACATGCGGCTGCAGTAATTGGAAAAGCCTCCCTTCATCAGTCACATGGGCACACTGTGGTGTTTAATTTTTGTACGAAGTGATAGCGGTACATAGCAGTGCTATTTTCAATTATATCAATATTCCACAGAGGTGTCCTTGTCTGAGCTATATTTCAAAAAGGTAAGAGTTCCCCCCGTTCCCCCATCCCAAATACTATCTATAAATTAATACATACTACAATTATTAACAAAACCTAATACAACAATTACTAGAGAACACACGAAAATAACTAAAAGCCCAAATATTAATTACAATATATAAGGTCAAACCATGTTGTGTTACCTCTGTTAATCTGCGGAAGAAAAATAGGAAAGATTTCCGTCCGTAACCCACGGTTCTATTCCTAAGAAAAGATGTTTTTTTAATAGAAAGCCTACCCGAACCTTAACCCTAACATTATGCTAAATCTAAACCCTAAACCCTAACCCCTAGAAATAATCATAATAAATAGAATGCATTTCAAGCGGGGATTACGGGTGGAACTCTTACCGAAAAATACAGGGGAACGGAAAGAGCTCTTTCCCCAGACCCCAACCCTGAACTGTCCTCAACACCGTTTCAGCTGTTACTGTTTGATTAGGATTAGGTGTAATACTAATGTAAACATTGAACATAAATAACATTTGCATATCAGAATGGTTAGTTGTTTAGAATAGTAATCATGAGGTGTTTTTCTGTGTGCCATGTAAGAGAAAAAATGTGTAAAAATTTGATCATCATTATTAGTATGAAGATAGGGTCAATGTATTGGTGATCCAAGAAAATCTAAAAAATACTGACCCAGTGATTAGCTACTAACCATTGTAGCCTGTCAGTTAAGCAACCAATCCTTGAAGTCCTATAATTTGCGGATCATGTGAGTTCTAATTTCATAGGACCCACGAAGATCCGGGGTGGAATAGGTATGCAGCAACCCATGCTTGCCACAAAAGGCGACTATGCTTGTCGTAAGAGGCGACTAATGGAATCAGGTGGTCAGGCTCGCTGACTTGGTTGACACATGTCATCGGTTCCCAATTGCGCAGATCGATGCTCGTGCTGTTGATCACTGGTTTGTCTGGTCCAGACTCGATTATTTACAGACCACCGCCATATAGCTGGAATATTGCTGAGTGCGGCTTAAAACTAAACTCACTCACTAATTTCATAGTGTGTTTAAATAAGTGTAAGTGTATTACTATTAGGCACTTTCGTTATTTATTCTAATTAATAATTATTTATTTACGATTAATGTCCCCTGACTTTTCTGTTACTGTTGCAGATTTGAGGATGCCTCGTCTCCCACCCCGTGTCAATGACATGGCTATACGTCTGGCACTGTCAGGTTGCACCAACCGGCCCTTTTACCACATCGTTGCTATGCCACGAAAGAAGGCTCGCGATGCTAAGGCCACAGAACAACTTGGCAGTTATGACCCAATGCCAAATACGGACAATGAGAAGCTAGTGTCTCTCAATTTTGAGAGACTGAGATATTGGTTGGCCTGTGGAGCAAATTCCACTAAGCCAGTCCAACAATTACTGGGTAGGTTGTCATGGTCATGTCGTGTTCAGTTCAGACTACCTGTATACTAATCAGAGCAGCTGTTTTCTCAACATGGAACAATAACTTAAATCTGTTGAAAGCAATTTTCAAGCATTGGCTTGTTCCATAAAAGCACTGGACATTTCAGTATTTTACCATGTTTTACCTGTCTGTATTGTTAGGTAGGTTAATCAGGATGTGCAGGAAGGCACTTCATTTTCTGGGCCATGTCATATTTAAGAACTTTCATCCTTTTACTATGTTAAGTGTGACTCAATAACTAGATATACATTTTCATCATCTCATGTAGTGCTGTATTCTCAATACACCATTGTTTCAGTCAAAAACTATGGATGCTATATCATATAGTTTGTGGGGGCACAAGTAGATGTCATCTGAAGTGCCACAAATTGCTATTCGTATTTGTGTGGCATGATCATGAGTCTGAATCACAATCTGTGCTGATTATAGTTCTATGGTTGTCAGCACTTATTCCATGCTCATGTGTTTCAATACATAGTAAATGGTTGAGATCTGCATCAATTCTACATCAAGCTGATACCAGTATGCTGTGATATACTAAACTACAGGTCAGACTGGTGATAAACAAAATTTACTCACTCACAATATGTTTGTTTCAGGTCTTGCTGGCTTCTTCCCAGTTCATCCCCTGAGCTACATCAAGGCCAGGAGGAACCGTCGAGCAGTTGCAGAGCAACTCAAGGAAGAGGTGACCCAGGAGGAGTCGGGATCTGCACCTACATAGTGCTGTCCATCTCCAGTAGCCTGATGTGGTCGTGTGACTCCTAGTGGATGACTGATACGATGTCTGTCAGGAACTGTGGACTGAATCATTAGCTGTGTGTGTGATTGATACATTGGCTGTACTGATGACCAATAGAACAGCTGTATGGATACAATGAATGTATGTGTTATTGAGCAGACTGCAGCATGTTGATGGCCCACATGGTGTAGCTGCGTTAGCTCCCCTCTGTAGGAGATTCTACACTTTCATGTCACAACATGAGCCTTCTCACCTTTATCTCTCTTTAGGGGGTCATTGACATTGAGATGTGAACAGTTGACATCCAGTATACTTGACATCTTAATTTTTAATTATTCAAGGCAGCTGACAGTGTGTTGTTCCTATAGTCAAACCCTGCTGTGTCCAGACCCTGGGGACTCGAGGAATACTTGTACATATTCAGGGGTCAACTAATCCAGGGTTCAACACATCTGACTCAACTCCCTAACTGTGTGACCTAGCCAACACCAGCAGACAACAAAAAGCAACCTTGCCACATCATGCATATCAACTAAATAACATTGATATAGTTATACAAAAGTATTTGTCATGTCTATATTTATTCACTATAAAGTAAGTTTGAGACGACCTTGAATTTGACACATCAAGGTTCGGCATGGTTTTCTTGTAGACTGGTTACAAGAACATTTATTGTTTCCACAATTCCAGTAAATAGCCAAGCATGTTGAACTGTTGACACCATTATGTATTATCAGGTACACACACTGTTTAAGTTTTTATAACTGTTTGGAAAAGGAATGTTTTGCCATGTTGGTGTGGCACAATAATGGTCTATCCTGAGAAACTGCTTATGGTGTACAGAGCAGTTACCTCCCTTGTATTACCAGCACTCCACTCTTCAAGAAGAGACTCTCCCATGTAACATGGATTAACCTGCATTATTGTTCTGTGGTCAGTTAATATTTGATTATTCTAGGTGGTTAGTAAATGTCTGCATCAGCGTACATTGAGTATGCTGTCTTCAGTTGCGGTGGTGACTTCATAATTTATGGCTTGGTGGAGTGATGATGATTTTAAGGGGGAGGGGCACCCATTTTGTTCTGGTGGGGCATCACTTTTGTGCATAAAATTATTTTAAAATTATGGTTAACAATTATGGGAAGGGGAGAGGGGGGTCATTGATTTTGTACATACATTTGGGGGGTGGGGGTCATTCACATTGTACATGCTTCAATCATCATCATCTCCCCTAGCCATAAATTATGAACGGCCCCTTAGCATGTCATTGTCTGGACTTTGTATGGACATGTTGAAATGTTTTGAAATGGAAATGTTGAAATGAGAATTACACTTGTACCTGTTGACTGTCTCTTTTTTATCGTATCAGTTGCTATGAGTACACACACACACATTACTGAGAATGTTTAAAATATGAGAACTAGGACATGCCTCACAAAGATTGATGTAACAAGAAATAACACCATTTACACAGTGAACAGACATACATAGGAGGGCTGGCCTCACATAGATAGAAATGGAAATTAGTTCTATCAGAAGCCCAGGTGTAAGGTTACCGTATCATTTATTAGCAAAGATAATGATAGACAAAATTCATTAATAAAAGCAACCTTCATTGTCTAATCGAGGAAATACAGCACCCATAAAAAGTATTCTTTTTGTGGACATTACATGATGTCCAGATTTGTGATCATGGATGAAACTAGGGCTCATCTCTACCAAACAACAATCAAACTGGGAACCGTTTGATGTCACTACCATAACTAATTTACAGAAGATGAGAGCTGATCATTGTTCAATATACCAAAACATCCCTCTCCCTTCAAGTGGAGACATGGGTACATTGCGTGAGGCCCATTTCTGGTGTCCCCTGCTGTGATATTGCTGGAATATTGCCAAAAGCAGCATAAAACCATACTCAAGTGGAGATGTTACAGAGGCCCAGATAAGCTGCGTATCCGGGTAAAATACGCATAGAAAATTTCCAATTACGCATTGAAAACATAATTGTTGCGTACCAATTACGCATTTAAAATGTTAGATACGCAAAAAGTTTAAAACAAATGCGTACTGAATATATTTATAAAAATCGCTTGCGTAATGAAAAAGACATCGATTGCTATCAAGTTGTACTGTTAGTATAGGACAAGTGTTGTACTGTCAGTAGAGGATGACTGATTTTTTATGAAATCTTTTCCATTATATTTAAGTTGGTTTTGATTAGGTATGACATAAGGCAGAACATACCTGCTTAGTAAACTTACTCAATGACATATACCTAGGTGAGTAAAATGACTGAAATACGCACAAATTTGAAAGCAGTGGGTAACGGAAAATGAAATACCCACTCAACATTCATAATACCCGCTCCAAAAAAATACAGTGGGTACAGTACCCACATGAGCTAAGTCTTATCTGGAGCTCTGATGTTAGGATCTTCATGTAAAGCCTATATCATACCAGAAGTGGAGTTACATTTTTAAATGTGGTTTATTATACTAAGAAGTAACATTTAGATCATGAGTATCAATTTGCCAACAGTCACATGATTTGCTGAATTCTAAATGATTTGTGCTTTTTCTCATTCATCACACGTCTTTGCAAATTTCTTGACTAGTTCATTTCAACGTTGACGAAACACCTATAGTGAGTTTTCCATGATTTTTATCCTTGATATTCTGACATGGTTGCGTAAGCAGATTGGCGTAATTCTGACCATTTAGGAGGTGTAATTAGTCCGTCAGACAGACCCCATACAACCGATGCAAGTATAGATTTAAATCTGAAAATGGACTAAGTCTCTGGCCTCCTTTTATTATAATTTATGAAAGTATTGTATGAAATATATTTTTCTGTAAAATATGTTCATTTCAGAGACAGGATTTGAGTCGAGAGATATCATTTGTATTGTAAGTTGTATATTTTGGAAGTCCAGAAAGCCAAAGCCACCATCTTGGCATGCGAGTAAAGAGACTTGCGCTTCATGCCCAGAGGAGACTTAGATGCTTGGACTTCTTTTTGGCTCTGGTAACCATGGATACAAATGGCCTCACAGAATCAGCTGTGTCTGATTCAACACAACCTACTCATATGTGATGTTGAACCGTGGGTGTTTGTGGTAAAAAATCAAAGGCATCCAGTGTGCTGAAACCCTTGTAGTGCCCACTTGATTCCTCAATGTTTTCAACTCCACCTAGAGAGATGAATACTGTATCAATGTGAGGTGATTCTTTCATCATCAAAAACCATGTATTATTCTTAATGGGGGCAGTTGGTGGTCTTTGTAGTTCTTTGTAGTTGATAGCAAGTCTCAATGGAAGGCTGTTCGAGTTTGCCCTGTCAGAGGTGCATGACAGAATTGTCATTTGTTCCATCATCACCAATGGATAATATTTAGTCACATTGATGCCTGTTTTTGTATTTGGTTCTGATGCAGGCTATACACATGGGCTGTATTGAACCTAGCGCATAATACGTTAAGCGTGTGCTATAGATTCTTAGAGTTTACAGCCCCTGAACGTTTTACGAATTTTTCGGAGAACCAAACATAGCGCATCGCCAAGTTACCTCCCTTGCATCATATCAGCCTTGGCTGATAAAGGCCTCGCCTCCCCAGACCCCGACACTAATCGGTTTCCAACGGAAATAATATAATTAAGACATTTAGATGTTTGTGTGAGTCACGGCTTATTGGAAGTTATGATTGAGGCTTAACTAGTACATTCACCTGAAACAAATCAGAATCCAGAGTTTAAGAGAACCACATTTCTCCATCATCTTGCATACGACTTTATCTATAAGAGATGATGTTTTTGATAAATTTACCGTGGCAAATTACAGAGCGTGCGAATGAGTAAACCGATGAAGTGAGTGTATCATAAATTATGCGGCCCGCGCGGAAGTAGTTGAGAGCGGACTTGCATCGGCGTACTTCACTTTAACGGAGTGGTAGTGCTGTCACACAAAACCAGCAGTCGCACACACGCACGCGCGCGCGCGTGCACTGGTGGAGGTCTAAAATGCAATTCACAAGTTTCTCTGACGCGATCTCTGTCCTGCGTCACTCAAATACAGATGGATTTTGTTTCCTCTATCACCAAAAACGGTTCCTCCATTTAGCGCACAAAAAGGATCTTCCCACCAGTAAACTCTACAAATGACACAAACCAATTCCTATCATTCAACACCAACTAGGACATACATCATCTTTCCATCATTCAACACCAACGAGGATATATATCATCTTTCCATCATTCAACATCGACTATGATAAAATGTGAGTGAGTTTAGTTTTACGCCGCACTCCGCAATAGTCCGGCTATATGGCGGCGGTCTGTAAATAATCGAGTCTAGACCAGACAAACCAGTGATCAACAGCATGAGCATCGATCTACGCAATTGGGAACCGATGACATGTGTCAACCAAGTCAGCGAGCCTGACCACCAGATCCCGTTAGTCGCCTCTTACGACAAGCATGGGTTCCTGAAGATCAATATTCTAACCCGGACCTTCACGGGTCAACTATGATATAAACCATCGTTTATAACTATATAGCCCGTTTGCTGCAAAATCGTACGGATGAAATGGCACATTAATATACATTCGAAAGTAACAAATCGTCTTGAATGGCATGAAAGTTGGTAACTTGTCCATACCAAATCGACACTATAATTTCAGATATTGGCTCGAAGAACAGGAACAGTTGTTGAACAAACGATCATGTAAATGTTGATGTTTTTAATGACTGGGATATGGACACCTACAGGGTATCGCGGAACACATAGTCTCAAAACTTCTATAGTCTGAAATAGTTTTCCTTGACATTGTCTCTGTCACTGTCAACTGATGTAACAATTTGACTAACCGTTGCATAATGTAAAACGTCTTTTTCCCCAAGTAAAGTGTTATGTCATAACCTGATTTTGGTTTCGAAAGTTTCCTTTGACTTTCTTAAAATTGGGACGGAATAATTTCTCTCCCGCTTGGACAAAACTCTTTCGAGAACCATGAAATGACACAGGCATTCTGTGAAAGACATGCATCTTCCAACAGTAGTGACAACTTCCAAAGAAGGAACAGGTTAGGTAATTTCCACACACACTTACCTATAGAGTAATTGAAATGCTGATTAGTTTAAATAATTAGTTTAATCTGCCGGATATTTTGTCTGGTTCTGAGAGAATGCCGTCAATTATTAATAGCACACTTCATCCTGTTCAGACATTAATTGTTTGAAGTATTTAAAGGAAGTTAGCACTCATTTTATTGGAAAGATGTTAAACCATATTGCAACACCACACCTAAACTGTTCCACACTGTAACCGTAAGTATGTGTTCATACATGTTCTTGGTATTGTCATTCATTTCATCGGTCGAATTTATGACGCGATCTGTTGTGGATATCTGTAAAGCATGTATGTGATACAGGACCGAGGAGGAAGACACGAGACTCTGTACGTCTCCTGCCACAGATGAGACCACTGTGTGCAGGTTCTACAGTGTATAACATAGTAAGTGACCGAGTTTAGTTATACCCGCACTCGGGTATAACATAAAGTGTACTGGTATTATTTTGTTGTTACTTGTGACAAAAAAATAATGATTGTTTGTTAAACAACCTCTTTATTCGGGTGTCAACAATTATGAGACAAATCATCAGAGATGGTCTGTCGATTTCATGTGACCATGCAAAATTTGGTTTTGTTGCAGTTATTCGATTTTGTGTTTGTGAGCAATTCATCGGTCTCAAATGGAATAAAACGGATTGTACCTCAAGAGGTGTGGTATATACTATCTGCATATTTCAGCTGCAACATACGTCTTTCAAAGGTCAAGACCTTCGTAAAGGCATAATGAATAGTTACGAAATGTTGTTACGTCATTAATTAATATGGTTATGGGGCTAAGGCAGTCACCTGTGTCGTGTGTGTGTGTTGGGGAGCATGCATGCACCTGTACTCCGCAACTGCCTGTCCCACACCCATTTAAATGTGGCGTTTTACACCAATAGGATACGTCTCAACGTCTCAAGGTCATGTACATTCAACGATGGTACTTCTGAAGTATCCGCAGAACTGAGCAAAGCATATATATATATAAAGCATATATTATATATATATAAGAAGAAGTTTCTGAAATAATCACACGACACGGATCTTCTCCAACATGTTTCACTTTTATCTTCAGGGAGAAGTGATTACAGTTAAACGGATTATGTTATGACGTCACTTTGTCATGACGTCACAATGCAACTGTATACAAATGTTGTGACGGGGCGTCACAACATTTGTATACAGTTGCATATATATATTTATTACCCACGTGGTCAACGTATGGGAGTTGCATACTACCCAGCTAACACGAAAATGTTTTAAAAATATCCCCAAAACATTTCGTGAAATGTTCCAGAAACATTTTTTTAAATGTTTTATTCACGTGATTTTGTATGGTTCCAGAAATGTTTTAGAAACATTTCCAAAAACGTTTAACTATAAGGTTTTTAAAATGTTTTCCTGAAATGTTTTTTCGAGATGTTTTGGAAATGTTTTAAAAAATGTTTTATTCACGTGATTTTGTATGGTTCCAGAAATGTTTTAGAAACATTTTCAAAAACGTTTAACTATAAGGTTTTAAAATGTTTTCCTGAAATGTTTTTCGAGATGTTTTGGAAATGTTTTAAAAATGTTTTATTCACGTGATTTTGTATGGTTCCAGAATGTTTTAGAAACATTTTCAAAAACGTTTAACTATAAGGTTTTTAAAATGTTTTCCTGAAATGTTTTTCGAGATGTTTTGGAAATGTTTTAAAAAATGTTTTATTCACGTGAATTTGTATGGTTCCAGAAACGTTTCAGCAATGTTTTCTCCAACATTCAGTGAACATATTCCATAAAGGTTTTCTGAAAACGTTTTACAGATGTCATTTTGTATGGTTCTGGAAACGTTTTAATAACATTTCCTTTGAACATATAGTTTTAACTTTTCAAGCACATAGAATAGCCCTGATAACAATTAGGTGGCGTTTTGTTTAAAACGTAAACCACTGGAACAAAACGTAGAACACTAACAGTTAACAATGTACATAATATGTCTGTGGCAAATAGTTACACATATACATAGGGGCGTGTCTCACTTAGAAACAGCGTTAGAAAGACATATAGATGTCTAGACTCAACCCTTTTACTATATAATAGGGTTGGGTCTATACCTCTATATGTCTTTCTAACGCTGTTTCTAAGCGACACATGTCCCCATGGACATATATAGTTAATCTTTAAAAGGACACCAAAACAGATAAAAGAATGGCAGACTTGTAATCAACAATTTTATTAATAATTCTGGAAACGTGTACACTTTTTCAGTTTGTTTCATTATCTTCTTCTTTGTTTTTGCAGTCATCCATATTTCTGAAATATAGAAAACTTTCAATAATCTTAAGCAGGTACTTGAAATGTGATATTTACTCAAACCAAGTGACACTTACCAGTCTTCTACCACGTTTGTACAGACACGTGTTTGGTGGACATGAACACACTATTGGAATGTAATGATTGATATGGTAATATCCAGAATCATGCTGAATACCAAAGATGTAGCAAGCACAGAATATCACTTACTGGTCAGAGGCTGTGTACAAGTACAAATCAAATCTTGCAATAAAAAGCCTCAAATATATCAACATGTTTATAGACAATGGTATTTAACAGCTGCACTTACATAATTCACAGCTCCTGGATTATTTGATGTGTTCCTCCATAAATCCATCATGTGTAACAGTGTGTTTGTATATCCTGGAATGCTTGTCTCATATTCGCCCTTGCTGCAATGAAAATAACAATGTTCCGCATTATCACAAGTTATAAATTGAACCGTTTTCCATAAAGCAGCATATAAAGTAGATCTAGTTAGTCTAAAGCTGAAACATACTATGTAATTGCCTCAAGTTTTTGGTGGGTGCCCATTTACAACAAACTTGATTACTGGCGAGCGTTCTAGCCCAGAATCCAAACTGGAATTGATTTATTACACATCTATTGTAACTAGCTACATGATTCAAGCCTTACACGCGGAACAGTTGCAGCTGCAGTACGATTTCGTTGCGAGAATTGTAACCAGATTCTCTTCAGTTTTCGATCACGATGTTTTCGGTTTCACCGAAACATCATTTCACCAAGAATTGTAACAACTTTATTTGGTCCAACATTTACTAAACTGAGACCACGCCATTTTTCACTATGGAATACCGTACCATGAAAATCATGAAAACCCTAATCAACACGGTTTCAAACATGTCACTTATATATTGGTGTCAAACCTCGACATTGTTTATATCTCCTTCCTGCAAAACCAATTAGATCAATATTTTTATGTAAATCATCACCAATCATTGATCACCTCACTGACAATATATTGTGATAGTCTGTGGCCATACACTGTGGTATAGTAAGTGGCCATACAGTGACAACTCATAGCCGAGGACTAGTCATCGCCAACGCCCCGTTATAGTGTAGGCCACATGTTTATTTCTGGCTCTTGTCTAGAAGAGAAATACATCTATCCAAAACCGATCAATTAATTTGTCTGGGGGAAATTTAAGAATACACTGTGTAAACAGAGTACCATATAAGAGACCATATATTCATTATATCGTCTCTGCTTTAGTATAGCACTTGAAAACATGCGGTAATAGTGGACAAACAACAATCCGACAACCCAGCAGATGGTCATTTAACATTTAGTTTAGTCAGTGTTAATTAACAAGAATGCGTCTGTCATTTCTTTTAAGAAATAGTTTTTTATAACATGCACACACTATGACAGCCAGTAACTATCCCACAGTCAAGTGGATCAGAAACTAATTTCGAAATTATTTCGATTCCCCATTTTCGTGGTATAAAATCAACGCAACTTTCCAACGACTTAAACGAGCAAAATTGTCATAGTTTAAAAAATTGAAAATTAGCTGCAATGTTAAATTAATAAAATGTCCTTCAGACAAAACATGGAAAAAATTAACAACGATAAGGGCCACTGGCTTGTGCATACGTTTACGATCGAAAACCGAACGTAATAGCGGCATTAACCGCCTTACTGAACTCTGCTTGAACACATATTGCTCGCTCTTGATAGCCCAATGATCCCTTTATGTAACATAAAATCCCCATAAAATTAATTAGGTACAAACTCTCTTAGACATTCTTCACAACGATATAATATATATCCAAAGCGAGCTGAATTCGATGTTCTGGTGATTTCGACGATTACATTGCTCGCGCTATATCGGGGGATTACGTTCGCGATCGGAGTGCACAAACAGTTTCACTGGTAGGGCGGATGCAAAAATATCAATATTATTTACCCGAGATCGTTAATACCACTTCAGATGCAAATCAATTGCCTATATAACCAAATATAGCAAAACCTCTGTAAGATCTGTCGTCTGCTGGTGACAAGCAATATACCAGATATAAACAGGAAGCCACGTGATCACAACACTCACTCGCATGGCGGAGCGAAATGTATACAAATCCAAGATGTGGAGATGTTTCGCCGATAAGATATCATCAACGCTATTTTTGTAAGAAACACTTGATATATTTGGTGTGAAATAGATAAATATATCCCTTTTCACTCAAGGTTAGTAAAATAAATTTACGTTTTTGTCTTACATCGTCGAAAAAACCCTGTCACCGGGATTCTCTGTTGGAACACTGAATCACGTTTCTCAAAACCCCGCTACTTTTGAGTAACACAGTCTTTTAACCGAGTGAATATCAAAATATACATAAACATGAAAATAATGACTGTAAAATTAACTCACCGCAATCGAGGCCACATCGATGATCCAGTTTCCTGTTGTTGCACCATGAGTCGAATGACAAGGTGGTAGGGTCCTGAATAAACTTCAACTAAGATGGCGGGTGCAAAATTATGACGTGATGGGTGACGTCATTCCGACGTCATTTCCCGCCGTAACAATAAGGCATTGTGTTGCAACATTTTAAAAATGTTATCAAAACGTGTAGGTGGGATATCATTTCAAAACCCTTTTAAGAACAAGTCATAATAAAAACACATTTTAAATGTGATGACAGATCCGGCTAAAACATTTCAGGAACGTTTAAGGCACTTTAGTGACAAGTCATACATTAGAACGTGGCTGAGTGAGATAATTGTTTTGTGATTGCAGTGTATGTACTGTTTATGTCACGCACCAACGTTACAACAGAAACCGTGTTTTTAAAACGTGATCTCAATTAAACATGTTCTTGCACATAATTTCTGTAATGATTTAAAAACATTTCAATCATATGTTATGAAATAGTTTCACCCATGTTACAGCATGACGTTTCTGAACAACATTTGAAAACATTTCAAAACATTTTCAGTATTTTTTGAGATATTCACACATTATTTGTAGGACTTTGTTCTTGCATAATCTCTGCAGCGTTTTAAAACATCTCACTAATACGTTGTGAAATGGTTTCAAACACGTTATAGCACGACGTTTTTAAACAACATTTTGAAAACATTTCAAAAATATTTTCAGTATTTTTGAGAGATTTAGACATTATTTGTATGATATGGCATAAATGTGTGCACAATGTTTTTAAAACGTGATGACAATATTTCATTAAACATGTTCTTGCATAACATTCCTGCAGCGTTTTAAAAACATCTCACTAATATGTTGTGAAATGGTTTCAAACATGTTATAGCATGACGTTTCTGAACAACATTTTGAAAACATTTCAAAAACATTTTCAGTATTTTTGAGATATTCACACATTATTTGTAGGACTTTGTTCTTGCATAATCTCTGCAGCGTTTTAAAAACATCTCACTAATATGTTGTGAAATGGTTTCAAACACGTTATAGCATGACGTTTTTGAACAACATTTTGAAAACATTTCAAAACATTTTCAGTATTTTGAGATTTAGACATTATTTGTATGATATGGCATAAATGTGTGCACAATGTTTTTAAAACGTGATGACAATATTTCATCAAACATGTTCGTGCACAACATTTCTGCAACGTTTTAAAAATATTTCAATGACATGTTATCAAATAGTTTCACTCATGTTATAGCATGACGTTTTTAAAAAACATTTTAAAAACATTTCAATAACATTATGAAACATTTTTATAACGTTCCAAAAACATTTTGACGAAAATGTTTTTGAAAAACTATTTTGAAACCTTATGAAAATGTTTCAAAAATGTTTTGTGTTAACTGGGTAATCTCGTACGTCACACGTGTGTCGTATCGCGTTGACCTGTGTCGTAACGACTTGACCTGAGATTCTAACGATTTGATTGGATAACCGATGACCTCTCAGTTAGGTCATGTTGTGACGGTACTACTTTTTCATTCATAACAAACACGTGGATCCATTCATTCTACAACTAAATGCATTGTGGGAATGTAAACATCGCGAACGTTGCCGTGTCGCTGTTTTATTGTGAGTCGAACTGAGACATTATACCCGTCGAAAAACGTAAACGCAATGTTTGCACCAGTGATGTTAGCCGAATGAAGCAACTGCAAACCAAGAAACGGGGTGCTACGGAGTAGTTTACTGTAGGAGGCTGTACGAGGCGAAGACAACTGACATGCATCGTGACGTCGGTTACCAAGGCAGTGACGTCATTACAGTGACGTCATGCAAATATTGTACTACAGTACAAAACTCTTCCGCAACCTCTTTATGAAACCGGTTTCGGTTTGAAACCAAAATATTAACAAAACTACGTTATTTTGTCAATTTAATGCATGTAAGACGTGGGTAATAAATAAAATACCACACTCGGTCTCATTACATACGAATTATACGAAACTCGTGACCTTCCTATGTTATCTGACCTCGCTTTCGCTCGGTCAGATACCATAGGAAGGACACTCGTTTCGTATAATTCGTATGTAATGAGACCTCGTGTAGTATTCTCTATATATGTTATGACGTCATTTTGTCATGACGTCACAATGCAACTGTATACAAATGTTGTGACGGGGCGTCACAACATTTGTATACAGTTGCATATATATATATATATGTTATGACGTCACTTTGTCATGACGTCACAATGCAACTGTATACAAATGTTGTGACGGGGCGTCACAACATTTGTATACAGTTGCATTGTGACGTCATGACAAAGTGACGTCATAACATAATCCGTTTAACTGTAATCACTTCTCCCTGAAGATAAAAGTGAAACATGTTGGAGAAGATCCGTGTCGTGTGATTATTTCAGAAACTTCTTCTTATATATGTACTACTGTACGCTCGGTATTCTCATCCATTTCTTTATATATATATAAATATATATATGTATCTAATCAATTAACAGTATCATGGATTTCCGCCTGCCAAAACATGCGCTCCGTTATATTGTCGTGTACAGATACACCCGTTTTGGAGTGACACGGCAAGTTCTATGGCCAAGGGAGCACGACCAAAGGAACAGTTGTGGTTTGAGTGGGTTTACATTTGGACAAATCGAAATTTCCGAATCGAAGTGGTGAAGCAGAATCGTTTCGGAAACTGCCATCTAATTGACTCCAGAACCCGCTCATCTTTCCTTATAGCTGGAGCAGTCAAAGTTGGCCGTCGCTACCTTCCGGTGTCCTCAAATCGTAAGGCACGGAGGTATCATAGATGATATATATCTGATTTTAATTAAATTGGAGCGTGTTAGAAACAAAAGTGGTAAATCAAGTCCGAGAATTCCAACATACCAAAAGGCATAGAACCCTTGGCGTTTAAGCTTGTGGAGGACTGGTTACTGTGGTACCTTACTTCAGATTAAGATTCATTGATGAACAGTATCAACTGTCGTGTACTAGTATCTTTCTTGTTCACCGCCCAGTGACCCGTGAAGGTCCGGGTTAGAATTGATCTTCAGTAACCCATGCTTGTCGTAAAAGGCGACTAACGGGATCAGGTGGTCAGGCTCGCTGATTTGGTTGACACATGTTTTCACATAGTTTCCCCATGCTGTTGATCACTGGATTGTCTGGTCCAGTTCGGTTGTTAGGGAAAACATTAAACGTGCGACACTTATCACAGTCTTGCTCAGCCTGTGTACTTATCACAGTCTTGCACCTTGACTGTGGAATATATGTATTTTATCGACCCGAGCCATCTATATTTCATATGTAATATGCAAGACTATACTTCCCTGTATGGTTTATGATTATCAGGTGGATCAGAGACCCATGTATTGCTGTGTTCCTGTGTTATTGTAAGTGTGCAGGCGTTTACTGTCGTATTGCCCAGTACTCTTCTTTTTCTTCTATAGTAACACATCTGCCGTTAGTCACTAGGGCACAGGACACGTTAGCACGTCACGCCGAGGACCCGGGTTCGAATCCTCAGACCGGCACTATTTATGGAACCTATATCTGTCGTGCAATGATTGAAATATAAAACTTACTCACTCACTCAGGTACCTACTGTGATACTGCAGTGCACCCTCCCTGACATTTACCCCCCACGGTTGTATATAGAGCCTTGCCTGACGGGCCTCATAGCTCGTCTCGACTATATAGTTTTTAAACAATTATATATCAGCCAATACTCTGCGGCTCTGCCACAGTGAGCATTACTTCATTCCCCGCTACACTTCCAGGGACATTTCCCAGAGATAGTTCTACCAGTCATTAAGGCATGTCAGTGTGAGTGACCGGATACCTATGGCCACCTTCGCACCCCGTCTTTCACACTGTTTAATTAATATCATTAAGAGACATGCCCGTTCGCGTCTACGGACCCATAACATGCAAATTTTTGTCTGTAAACTCCACCCTGGCTGGCCCTTGTTCCCGTTTAAAACCGACACATCTATCTAGCGTTCCTCCGGAGGTCCCCCCTGCCCCCGGCGTTAATTGACAGAGCATGTTTATCTACACAGAAGCCCACTACACCTATTACTTCCCAACTCCCCCCAGCTATGTTCATTCAATTACTGTAGCCGAGAAGGTCGCGTGTCCTGCCGATCATTCAGGCCGTTATGAACCGTTCTATTGCTCTGGGACAAGCAGTTAATACATTTCAGGAAATGTTTTTGACGCTCCCCAAAGCTAAGAGGTCCGTCCAAGTCGTCCCCCAATCTTTGCCGCTAATAATTCTTGGACCCATACTGGGACAGATCTCGTCTGCTCCGATCGTCTGCTCGATACTGTCTCTTCGGGAGCCATCTCCTGACCGCGACTTTGAGTCTCTGCCAATTTTAGAAAATTGCATCTTTTCATCGCTGTGTATGTTTGACTTCGAGTGTCGGGGGACCTATCACGGTTGTAGATAAAACTACACGACGTACACTTTCGCGCCCTTCTTCCGTCTCGGTAGCCATGTTGTCATTGACCTCATTCCGTCAGTACCACCAATCTCTGGTACTTAATTGAGGGACGTCTCCGTAACTCCCCACTTGTAGAATACCACTTTGTCTACAAATATAAGGGTGTCATACCTCACCAGCAGATTAAATGTGCAGCTGGGATAGAGAAACCTTGCTTCTAGATGCACGAACGTTGAACAGCGACGGTCATGTAAGCACCGCTGGCGCCGTGCAGATTCTGTCAAACCTCGCAATAAAACATTTCTATTTCATATGTAAGTAATGAAAGTTGTCCACAAAAAAATATTACTTTCATGAATAATAATACAGCATAAAGTTCACTGGTATTCTTTTTTCATGTGTAGAAACGGGGATAGAGTTTGGCTGTCTGGAATCACTCTGGGCAATGAGAGGCGAATTAATGCCTTGCTATTGAATTAGTCGGCTAGTGGGAGAAGACAGTGGGATTCTCCATGTTCGGCCTTCACAGATGGAAGTGTTATACAGCTGCTCTAAAATGCATGATCGTAGTTTGAACATACTTCTATTTCTTGTGTGATATATAATAGTATTTGTAGATCATAGCCTTGTGATGAACACTGCCACTGTACTACAGCTGTATATTGATAGTGATAAGTGAAATCAAGACGGTATTCTGTAAAGTTGTAATCTTATAAAATTCGTTAGATACACATTTAGAACTGATCCCCAGAAACCTATGTTTGCCTCGCTAGATGACTAAAAGCATGAGGTGGTCTGTGATATAGTGGAGTGTAGGTTATTGTTCTCTGACCACATGTACAGGATGCTGCTG